TTCCTCAATTTAAATATTGAAGAAATTAAAAATATGGCTTAGGAAAATTTTGTAAAAATTATATATTTTGTATTAATCTTTTTTTAAATCTGGTTATCATTGCTTTAAAGAGGCGATTTTTTTTTATCGTCCTATAAATTTTTTGACATTGTGCAATCACTTAGTCACCATTCCCAGTGTGTGGTGGTATTTTTTTTAAATTATGATGCATTTTTATCCTGGACTCAAAAATATTTTGATTTAGAGTTGATTATGACTCTGCATTTGGCTTCCTGGTCCCTCCCGTCAAAACATAAAAATAATAATAATACAGTATTTTACAGTCACTTCTGAAAATTTGACTTTAAGAAAATTTAACACACGTCTTAAAATTCGCAAAATTTATAAAAAGTGGACACAACTGTGAATTATTATTTTTCTGAAAATTGATTCTATTTCAAACAAGTATTAAAAAATTGGGCCTTTTTCGACAGTTAATTACACAGTTTTTTTTTTAATTTTCACTCTTTTCTTTCAAATATTGATGAAACACCGAATTTTTTGTTTCCATCTAAAATTTAAAGAAGATTTTTTTACAAAAAATATATGTGTATTGATTTTTTCTGCGTGATGAAGGTTCTGTATACCGAAAAAAATGTGGCAGTGATCTACAAATAAATTATTTTGGAATTAAAACTACATTTATTTATAAATTAATAATGAAGCTCCAATGATTCCTCAATTTAAATATCGAAGAAATTAAAAATGTGGCTTAGGTAAATTTTGTAAAAATTATATATTTCGTATTAATCTTTTTTTAAATCTGGTTATCATTGCTTTAAAGAAGGCGATTTTTTTTAATCGTCCCATAAATTTTTTGAAATTGTGCAATCACTTAGTCACCATTTCCAGTGTGTGATGGTATTTTTTTTAATTATGATGCATTTTTATCCTGGACTCAAAAATATTTTGATTTAGAGTTGATTATGACTCTGAATTTGTCTTCCTGGTTCCTCCCGTCAAAACATAAAGATAATAATAATACAGTATTTTACAGTCACTTTTGAAAATTTGACTTTAAGTAAATTTAAAACACATCTTAAAATTCGCAAAATTTATAAAAACTGGACACAACTGTGAATTATTATTTTTCTGAAAATTATTTCTATTTCAAACAAGTATTAAAAAATTTGGCCTTTTTCGACAGTTAATTAAACAGTATTTTTTTTAATTTTCATTCTTTTCTTTCAAATGTTGATGAAACACCGAATTTTTTGTTTCCATCTAAAATTTAAACAAATTTTTTTACAAAAAATATATGTGTATTGATTTTTTCTGCGTGATGAAGGTTCTGTATACCGAAAAAAATGTGGCAGTGATCTACAAATAAATTATTTTGGAATTAAAACTACATCTATTTATAAATTAATGATGAATATCCAATGATTCCTCAATTTAAATATCGAAGAAATTAAAAATACGGCTTAGGAAATTTTTGGAAAAAATGATATATTTTGTACTAATCTTTTTTTAGATCTGGTTATCATTGTTTTAAAGAAGGTGATTTTTTTTAATCGGCCTATAACTTTTTTGACATTGTGCAACCACTTAGTCACTATTCCCAATGTGTGGTGGTATTTTGTTTAATTATGATGCATTTTTATCCTGGACTCAAAAATATTTTGATTTAGAGTTGATTATGACTCTGAATTTGTCTTCCTGGTTCCTCCCGTCAAAACATAAAGATAATAATAATACAGTATTTTACAGTCACTTTTGAAAATTTGACTTTAAGTAAATTTAAAACACATCTTAAAATTCGCAAAATTTATAAAAACTGGACACAACTGTGAATTATTATTTTTCTGAAAATTATTTCTATTTCAAACAAGTATTAAAAAATTTGGCCTTTTTCGACAGTTAATTAAACAGTATTTTTTTTAATTTTCATTCTTTTCTTTCAAATGTTGATGAAACACCGAATTTTTTGTTTCCATCTAAAATTTAAACAAATTTTTTTACAAAAAATATATGTGTATTGATTTTTTCTGCGTGATGAAGGTTCTGTATACCGAAAAAAATGTGGCAGTGATCTACAAATAAATTATTTTGGAATTAAAACTACATCTATTTATAAATTAATGATGAATATCCAATGATTCCTCAATTTAAATATCGAAGAAATTAAAAATACGGCTTAGGAAATTTTTGGAAAAAATGATATATTTTGTACTAATCTTTTTTTAGATCTGGTTATCATTGTTTTAAAGAAGGTGATTTTTTTTAATCGGCCTATAACTTTTTTGACATTGTGCAACCACTTAGTCACTATTCCCAATGTGTGGTGGTATTTTGTTTAATTATGATGCATTTTTATCCTGGACTCAAAAATATTTTGATTTAGAGTTGATTATGACTCTGAATTTGTCTTCCTGGTTCCTCCCGTCAAAACATAAAGATAATAATAATACAGTATTTTACAGTCACTTTTGAAAATTTGACTTTAAGTAAACTTAAAACACATCTTAAAATTCGCAAAATTTATAAAAACTGGACACAACTGTGAATTATTATTTTTCTGAAAATTATTTCTATTTCAAACAAGTATTAAAAAATTTGGCCTTTTTCGACAGTTAATTAAACAGTATTTTTTTTAATTTTCATTCTTTTCTTTCAAATGTTGATGAAACACCGAATTTTTTGTTTCCATCTAAAATTTAAACAAATTTTTTTACAAAAAATATATGTGTATTGATTTTTTCTGCGTGATGAAGGTTCTGTATACCGAAAAAAATGTGGCAGTGATCTACAAATAAATTATTTTGGAATTAAAACTACATCTATTTATAAATTAATGATGAATATCCAATGATTCCTCAATTTAAATATCGAAGAAATTAAAAATACGGCTTAGGAAATTTTTGGAAAAAATGATATATTTTGTACTAATCTTTTTTTAGATCTGGTTATCATTGTTTTAAAGAAGGTGATTTTTTTTAATCGGCCTATAACTTTTTTGACATTGTGCAACCACTTAGTCACTATTCCCAATGTGTGGTGGTATTTTGTTTAATTATGATGCATTTTTATCCTGGACTCAAAAATATTTTGATTTAGAGTTGATTATGACTCGGAATTTGGCTTCCTGGTCCCTCCCGTCAAAACATAAAATAATAATAATACAGTATTTTACAGTCACTTTTGAAAATTTGACTTTAAGAAAATTTAAAACACGTCTTAAAATTCGCAAAATTTATAAAAAGTGGACACAACTGTGAATTATTATTTTTCTGAAAATTGTTTCTATTTCAAACAAGTATTAAAAAATTGGGCCTTTTTCGACAGTTAATTACACAGTTTTTTTTTTAATTTTCACTCTTTTCTTTCAAATATTGAAAAAACACCGAATTTTTTTTTCCATCTAAAATTTAAACAAGATTTTTTTACAAAAAATATATGTGTATTGATATTTTCTGCGTGATGAAGGTTCTGTATACCGAAAAAAATGTGGCAGTGATCTACAAATAAATTATTTTGGAATTAAAACTACATTTATTTTTAAATTAATGATGAAGCTCCAATGATTCCTCAATTTAAATATCGAAGAAATTAAAAATACGGCTTAGGAAATTTTTGGAAAAAATGATATATTTTGTATTAATCTTCTTTTAAATCTGGTTATCATTGTTTTAAAGAAGGTGATTTTTTTTTAATCGGCCTATAAATTTTTTGACATTGTGCAATCACTTAGTCACCATTTCCAGTGTGTGATGGTATTTTTTTTAATTATGATGCATTTTTATTCTGGACTCAAAAATATTTTGATTTAGAGTTTAATATGACTCTGAATTTGGCTTCCTGGTCCCTCCTGTCAAAACATAAAGATGATAATAATAATACAGTATTTTACAGTCACTTTTGAAAATTTGGCTTTAAGAAAATTTAAAACACGTCTTAAAATTTGCAAAATTTATAAAAAGTGGACACAACTGTGAATTATTATTTTTCTGAAAGTTGTTTCTGTTTCAGTCAAATATTAAAAAATCTGGCCTTTTTCGACAGTTAATTAAACACTAGTTTTTTATTTGCATTCTTTTCTTTCAAATGTTGATGAAACACTGATTTTTTTATTTTCATCTCAAATTCAAAAAAGATTTTTTTACAACAAAATAGTGATGAACAACTAAATTATTTTGGAACCAAAAATACAGTGCAATATTTACTTATAAATTGTGGTTTCGCAAATTAAAAAAAAATATAATCTTTTTTTAAACCATCGTAATTTGTTTAATCGTGCTATAAATTTTTTAGCGTTTTAAGAATTTACTACCAGATTATATTGTTAGTTATTTGTCACTCAGTTCGTTTTTGTGTGATTATTTCACCTACCGTCGACTGTATTTAAACTTTTTGCGTTCTTTTTCACCGTAAAATAATCTAGTCATGACGCATTCAAATGCATAATACATGAACATAATTCTTGATAATAATTATTATTAATTCCACTTTAAATAAAAATGTCGTTAAATAAACAAACGGAAAATTTTGCATTTTTAAACATTACCTTGTCATACATAAATCCCGGAATATTAAAAAGATAAACGCTTGATCCGGTGAATGTTTAAACAGACTTGTTCTAAAATAAATCTCTTATTTTTTGGAGAGGTGTTTGCTTATTTAAGCAACACTTAATTAAAACCAACAACAACATTAATTGTGCAAGTGCTCCTGGAACCCTATCTCTAAATTCCATCAAACAAACTCAACAACACAACATCGTTATCATTTGTGGTCAAAACGCTCAACTCCCAACTGCGCCGATTAACCAATCACTCTAATCGGCGCACTTGGACCACGCTCTTATACTACATCCGCTTGTGGAGAAAATGATTAATCACCCACTAATTACCCTGTAAAGGGCGCACTTTCAACCGATTACTCAACCTCTCTGCGCAGTTTGATCTCGCCCCCGACCCCACCTCTCGGTGACCCCGCCCTCTCATCAAATGAACCCTCCGAACCCCAAGAGTCCCTGTCATGGGGGCATCATGTTCGTGGCGCCGTGCACTCGCATATGCCTGTTTAGGTTTCCGCTTTGACTAAACCTCAGAAGACACAGTTTGCATTCGTAGGGTTTTTCTCCGCTGTGTATCCTGAGGTGTTTGGTCAGGGTGCTGCTGTCGGAGAAGGCTTTCTTGCACAGTCTGCATCGGTAGGGTCTTTCTCCGGAGTGGGTTCGCATGTGTGTCGTCACGGAGGAGCTTTGTGAGAAGCGGCGGTCGCAGACCGGGCACCGGAAGGGCTTTTCTCCGGAGTGGGTCCGGACGTGCGCCGTCAGGTTGGCGGCCTGAGAGAAGGACTTGTTGCAGTCGATGCAGCGGTAGGGCTTCTCGCCGGAGTGGGTGCGGAGGTGGGTTTTCAGCGTGCTGGGGCGGGCGTAGCTTTTGCCTGAAAGTAAAAATTGAAACAATGATTATGATGTAACTGAATTTTGAATTTAGGTTTAAAGTTAAAAGAATGTTTACCGAAAAGTGTGCGAAGAAGAGTCGCCAAAGTATATATTTTTGAACTGATTTGGATAGATTTTTAAATTATGAATATAACAACACAAAACAATGGCGTTTACACAATTTCGATGTTTGTTTCTATTCTCAAGAGTCAAGATATAAAAAGGCCACGGAATTTTATCTGGGACACCTGTGTACATATTAAAGTGCATAATTTCGAGTTTTTTATTTTCTATGGTCAATTTTCAAATTTTTTTGCCCAGTTTGGATTTTTTTTTTAATCTGAATGTCTACAGTATAAAATAAGGACCAATTACAATTACAGAAGTATATTATTTTCTAGAATTTACGATTTACCTAACAAAATTTTAATAACTTCATTAATTTGTTTTAAAAAAATATATACCTAAAGTTATTTACACGGAACTTTCCCTGTTCCAAAGGCACAATCACTTAGAAGGGCAATTTTTTATGATAATGTCTATATGTTAAAATAATACTATTTCTAGAATTTGGAAATATGTATTAGAAAAATGATTTTTTATTTAATCATCAAAATTCAATAATTTTATTAGTTCGTGAGAGGATTAACCGATTTTTCATGTTTTTCGATTCTTTCAAAACTTTTTAAAGACATGAAAAATCCATAAAAATTCTGGGATTTCGATCTCGACGTACTGTTTTCAAAAATATCACATATTTATGGTTCTGGAGCAAGATTTTCGAAATATTCGTTTTGAAGATCAATCTTTTTAAAAATCCAAAATTTTCGTACATATTTCACTGGGCGATTCGATTTCGAAAGAAATAAGGCCAAAAGTAATTTCTGGGGGTCAAAGTCTACAAAAAAACTCTCTTAAAGCAATTTTCAAAGGTCGAAATACTTACAATTTCGTAAGTCAAAAATTCAACTTTTGACAAAGTTGCTCAAAAACTCGTAAAACATTATAAGGTATAGATTTTGACGACTTAACTCAAAAAATTTAGTATTTTGACCGTTTCGATTTGCATAATGTTTGCTCTGAAAATCCAATTTTCAAAACTCTTAAAAATTTTGTTTTTTTTAAGTTCCCTAAAAATCTGTAAAGAATTCTGGAATGTGGATTTTAACGAACTGAATCGAAAAAGATAGGGCTTTAAGATCGGTTCGAACAAAGATTGAAAAATTTGGCATGTTTCGTGTTTTGCAATTTTTTCCAAAAATTTTTAAAGTAACTTCCGATAATCGAAATCTTTAAAATAAATTCTGTACGTAATTTTCGAAGGTTCTCGAAAAAGAGTCAAAAATTTCATCTGGGTGGGGGGCGGGCATACGGAAAAAAATTAATCTTTTGAAAAAGTTATCCAAAAATCCAAAGAAAATTTTACAATTTAGATCTCGACGTGCCGATTCCAGAAATAAAGCATGTCTATAGTCCTTAAGCAAGATTTTCAAAATACTCGGTTTCAAAGTCTTTTAAAAATCCAAAAAATTGCCAAGTTTCACTGGACGATTATGAGAAAATGGTAAGGGTTTTTGAATAAATGGAAATCTACAAAAAAGCTTCTTTAGACAATTTTCGAAGGTCGAAATACCTACTGTCGAAAATTCCGATTTTGAAAAAGTTGCCCAAAAATTCGTAAAAAATTCTAAAATATAGATTTTGACTCCTTATAACTCAAAAAAATTAGCGTTTTGATTGTCTTGATTTGCAAACTCTTTGCTCTGAAAACCAAATTTTAAAAATTTTAAAAATTTTGTTTTTTTTAAGTTACCTAAAAATCTATAAAGAATTCTGGAATGTGGATTTTAACGACCCGATTCGAAAAAGATAGGGTTTTAAGATCGGTTCGAACAAAGATTGAAAAAATTGACATGTTTCGTGTTTTGCAATTTTTTCAAAAATTTTCGAAAATAACTTCTGGAAATCGAAATCTTTAAAATAAATTCTGTGCGTAATTTTCGAAGGTTCCCGAAAAAGAGTCAAAAATTTCGTCTGGGTGGGGGCAGCTATACGGAAAAAAATTAATATTTTGAAAAAGTTATCCAAAAATCCAAAGAAAATTTTACAATTTAGATCTCGACGTGCCGATTCCAGAAATATAGCATGTTTATAGCCCTAAAGCAAGATTTTCAAAATACTCGGTTTCAAAGTCTTTTAAAAATCCAAAAAATTGCTAAGTTTCATTGGACGATTATAAGAAAATGGTACTGGTTTTTGGAAAAATGGGAATCTACAAAAAAGTTTCTTTAGGCAATTTTAGAAGGTCGAAATAGCTACTGTCGAAAATTCCGATTTTGAAAAAGTTCTCCAAAAATTCGTAAAAAATTTTAAAATATAGATTTTGACTACTTATAACTCAAAAAAATTAGCGTTTTGATTGTCTTGATTTGCAAACTCTTTGCTCTGAAAACCAAATTTTCAAAATCTTAAATATTTTGTTTTTATTAAGTTACCTAAAAATCTGTTAAGAATTCTGCAATGTGGATTGTAACGAGCTGATTCGAAAAAAATAGGGTTTTAAGATCGGTTCGAACAAAGATTGAAAAATTTGGCATGTTTCGTGTTTTGCAATTTTTTCAAAAATTTTCGAAAATAACTTCCGGAAATCGAAATCTTTAAAATAAATTCTATAGTTAATTTTCGAAGATTCCCGAAAAAGAGTAAAAAATTTCATCTGGGTGGGGGGCGGGCATACGGAAAAAAAAATCTTTTGAAAAAGTTATCCAAAAATCCAAAGAAAATTTTACAATTTAGATCTCGACGTGCCGATTCCAGAAATATGGCATGTTTATAGTCCTAAAGCAAGATTTTCAAAGTACTCGGTTTCAAAGTCTCTTAAATATCCAAAAAATTGCCAAGATTCACTGGACGATTATGAGAAAATGGTACGGGTTTTTGAAGAAATGGGAATCTACAAAAAAGTTTCTTTAGGCAATTTTCGAAGGTCGAAATACATACTGTCGAAAATTCCGATTTTGAAAAAGTTGCCCAAAAATTCGTAAAAAAATTTAAAACAGATTTTTGACAACTTATAACTCAAAAAAAAATTAGCGTTTTGATTGTCTTGATTTGCAAAATCTGTGTTCTAAAAATCAAATTTTCAAAATCTTAAAAATTTTGTTTTTTTTTTCAAGTCCTAGAAGAAATCTGAGATGTAGATCTTAACGAGCTGATTCGAAAAAAAATAGGTTTTGAAGATCGTTTCGAACAAAGATTGAAAAAATTGCGATGTTTCGTGTTTTTCGGTTGTTTCAAAATGGTAGGAATTTTTGAAAATAAGGTGCTCGAAAAAAAGTCAAAAATTTAACTTCTGAGGGTGGGAATCTACAAAAAACTCTGGTTAGGTAATTTTCGAAGGTGCTCGAAATACGATCGAAAATTTCGTAAGTAAAAATGGAGCTTCTGAAAAAGTTGCCTAAAAATTAGTAAAAATTTCTGGGATATAGATCTTGATGAGTTGACTCAAAAAAAACGCACGGTTTTGACCGTCTGGAACCTAGATTTATAGCAATTTTTGAAGAAATGAAGGCGAAAATAAGTTCTAGAAAAGGAAATCTCTAAAATAAATTCTTTAGATTGTTTTCAAATGTGCTCGAAAAAGCGTAAAAAAATTTATAAGTAGAAAATTGACCTTTTGGAAAAATTCTGTAAAAATCCATTAAAAAATCTACGAGTTAGATTTCGACGTGCTGATTCCAAAAATATAGCATGTTTATGGTCCCGGAACAATATTTACAAAATATACGATTTGAAAATCAATCTTTTTAAAAATCCAAAATTTTCATATTTCACTGGGCGATTTTGGAAAAATGGTATGAGTTTCGAAAGGAATAAGGCCGAATATAACTTATGGGGGTCTAAAACTACAAAAAATTCTCTTTAGGTAATTTTCAAAGGTGTCTGAAAATTTCATAAGTGAAAAATTGAATTTTTGCAAAAGTTGCCCAAAAATTTGTAAAAAATTCTAAGATGTATATCTTAACCAACGGATTAAAAAAAACATAGGGTGTTGATCGTCTCAAACAAAAATTTGCGAAGTATTCGCTCTGAAAATCCATTTTTTTTATCCTAAAAATTGCTATTTTTCGTGTTATTCGAATCTTTCAAAACGGTAGAAATTTTCGAAATAAAAAAATTTACTTCTGGAAATCGAAATCTCTCAAATAAATTCTTTAGATAATTTTCAAAGCTTCTCGAAAAAGCGTCAAAAATTTTGTATAAGTGGGGTGGCAATAAGGAAAAATTGAGCTTTTGGGAAAGTTGTTCGAAAATTTCATAAGTGAAAAATTGAGTTTTTGAAAAAGTTGCCTAAAAATTAGTCAAAAATGTAGATATTAACTAGCTAATTCAAAAAACATAAGGCGTTGACCATCTCAAACCAAGATTTGCGAAGTATTCGCTCTGAAAATCCATTTTTTTATGCTAAAAATTGCTATTTTTCGTGTTATTCGAATCTTTCAAAACGGTAGAAATTTTCGAAATGAAAAAAAATAACTTCTGGAAATCGACATCTCTGAAATAAATTCTTTATATAATTTTCAAACCTTCTCGAAAAAGCGTCAAAAATATTGTATAAGTGGGGTGGCAATATGGAAAAAGTGAGCTTTTGGGAAAGTTGTTCGAAAATTTCAAAAGTGAAAAATTGAGTTTTTGAAAAAGTTGCCTAAAAATTCGTCAAAAATTCTAAGATGTAGATATTAACGAGATGATTCAAAAAACATAGGGTGACCATCTCAAACCAAGATTTGCGAAGTATTCGCTCTGAAAATCCATTTTTTTATGCTAAAAATTGCTATTTTTCGTGTTATTCGAATCTTTCAAAACGGTAGAAATTTTCGAAATGAAAAAAAATAACTTCTGGAAATCGACATCTCTGAAATAAATTCTTTATATAATTTTCAAACCTTCTCGAAAAAGCGTCAAAAATATTGTATAAGTGGGGTGGCAATATGGAAAAAGTGAGCTTTTGGGAAAGTTGTTCGAAAATTTCAAAAGTGAAAAATTGAGTTTTTGAAAAAGTTGCCTAAAAATTCGTCAAAAATTCTAAGATGTAGATATTAACGAGATGATTCAAAAAACATAGGGTGACCATTGTCTCAAACAAAGATCTGCGAAGTATTCGCTCTGAAAATCCTTTTTTTTTTTAATCCTAAAAATTGCTATTTTCGTGTTATTCGAATCTTTCAAAATGGTAGGAATTTTCGAAATCGAAAAAATAACTTCTGGAAATCGACATCTCTAACATAATTTCTTTAGATAATTTTCAAAGCTGCTCGAAAAAGCGTCAAAAATTTTATATAAGTGGGGTGTCGGGGATAAGGAAAAACTGAGCTTTTGGAAAAGTTGTCTAAAAAATAACTGGAGGTCCAAATCTACTAAAAAATCTCTGTGAATAATTTTTGAAGGTGTGTGTTCGAATAAAGTTTACATTTTTAATTTAAAAAAAAAAAGAATTTATGGCATAAAATAACGTTCAGGCATTTCATAGAAATTGCATCATTTTTAGCATAGATACAAGATATGAAAAGCAAGATACATAAAAAGATTAAAGTACGCTTGGAGATTCCCATTATAAAATCTTTACCGCTCGGAAACAATAAATTAATTCCGACAAATATGACTAATAATTACATCAACGAAAAAGATTAACGGATTAAAAAATATAATCCCTCCAGTAATTAAATTAGTTTTTGATATGTATAAAGTAATCTCGACAGTTACTAAGCCGACAATGGAATATTTTTATCGAGGAAATTAATCACGAAACAAAGCTTCCAATCCAATCTCTTGATAAATATTCGATTTTCACGAAAAAATCTCGTGGCTGGATTACCACACCATCACGGTCAACACTACTTGAACCACAAAAGTGTGAAAAGTCAATAATAACAAGGTGAAGGTTCAAACTCGAACAAACAAACTTACCACATATCCTACACACGTTGGGTTTTTGATTATCGTCCTCTATTAAATTTACACTGTGCCTCCTTCGTGGCGACGAAAACGACATAGGAACGGATTTGTACGAAGTCAAGACCGGGGCTTCCTGGGGCGGCCTAAAGTCCGCCGTAAACGAATAAGTTGTGCCTCCATACGAAGGACTCAAGAGTCCTTGCGTCTGGTACGTAGCCGGAGAAGCTCCCTGCGGAGCCGCGTTCCACTGAACCTTCAAAAGCTCTCACTTCAACCAAAACCACCCAACACGTTATCCCGCTATATACCTGAGGACAAGAAATCTCGTTCGTTGGATAACCACTCGTAGGATGATACCCATGCATGGTCATGTTCATGGACACGTTCACCGACATGCTAGGGAACATGGGCGCTTGCTGGGCGAACCCTTGGTCGCACAGCGACCCCGAATACCCCCCCGGCGACAGCAAAACCTGCGGATGGTACAAGTGCTGCTGGTCGTACTTATCCGAAGGACTCTGTCCAGGATGCACCACCGCGTGCTTCAAGGATAATAGCACGTCCGCCATGTCCGAAGTGGGCTGCTTGTATTGCGAATTCTGGTTCTGGAGAGGTTCCGTCCTGGAAACGAAGGATAGGCGATAAAAACGGGGATTTAGAATCCGCTCTTTAGTGCTTTGAAAGGGTCTTACTTGTAGTTGGAGGTAGTGTTGCAAGGCGAGAAGGGAAAAAGGCTGGGCAAGGGCTCGAGGTCCAGAGGTAGAGAAAAAGAGCCCATGTCTTCGCTCCAGCAGGAAGAGAGGTCGTCGGTGCACGAAGAAGACTGCTGGGCTCCGGCGCTAGGGGCGGAATTCCAGTTGCATTCGAGCTGCAGACCGAACTGGGGGTTGTTAGGGACGTAACTGGCATCCATCGTGAAGCTGGAAAAGGACCAAGACGACGACTTGCGCACCTGTTACAAAATAGAAACCGTACAGGAATTAGGGAATGGTCGATTAGCGATTTCGGCATTTTTCAATTTTCAAAATATTTGCGTCTTAAATTGGTTTTTATTTTCTATTTAGATCCTGCGGTGGTCATAGTGAAAGAAATTTTCGTTTTCAGTTGTTATTATTATCATTATTATTATTATTATTGTTATTACACAGCTGGTGGTTCGACAAACAAATTGGGATTGATTATTCGCTTTTTTGCTCATGTGTGTCCAAAAAAATGTGCGTCACACAAAAGGAAGCTCGAAATTTGTTTCCGGAAAATATTTCCCGCAAACTAATATTCCTGTGCCTGCGAAGCCCTACCAAGCCGCCTTTCTATTAATTGGTAGCCATGGCGACAGGCTGAAGGCGGTTTTCCGCCGGGAGCGTGAACAGTTTTTATTTGGCGCATCATCGGTGTTTGGAATTAATCCCGATGCCTTAAAGATTAAGGTATTCGCGTCGAGTGGGTATGCGTTAATGGTGCTGATAACATCGCGTTATAAACAGTTTAGTATCAAAGAGGTCATCACCAGGAGCGTCTATTTCCCATCGTGTCACCTGATAATAATTGATTGCTTTGTTTTTTATGTTGGTCAAATTATTGACCTGCTTTTACTTATATGACGTTGGATTGGGAAATTTTACGATTGTTCCGAGTTTTTTAAATTTCGAGATAATACGTTTATAATCCTTGGTTTTGTGGTATTTTGAGATTATGGCGGAGTTTATGGAGATCGGAGGGGTTTTCGAGGTTTTGTGCACTCGTGCCCATTTTTTTGCAAAACAAGTTATTGTACTGTTGCACTTGGAGTTTTCAGATAATAAGTAAAATTATGATTCATAATTTATATAGATTAGTTTGTCAAGTTTTGACTTTTAAAATTATTGCAGGTGCGTTCGATATAAATCCTTCAGTGTAATTACTGCACAAGCGGGAAAAAAGTAAAAAAATTGTATTATTCCAACCCAAAAGTTACAAATCATACGTTATTATGGACTTACATTATCAAGCTCAGAAAATAAAATAGTTCTAAAAATTGGTTTAAAGCTATTTAGAAAGAGAACGAAAAACAGAATAAAATGCGGTAAACTGAAATATCGATAGTACGAAATTGTAAAAATTTATTTTACTTTCATAAACACTCTGTCCACTAAGACTTACTTTTATTGATACCATAACAAAGCGCCTTCTTTCATCTCTGCACAAAATAGTGTCACAAATTGCTACAAATTTCAAGTAAATTGTAAGAACACGGCAACGTCGCAATTTCGAAAATAAGGCGGATGGGACCACCTGGAAATCGAGAATTTTCCTCCAGTAACCGTGATAGACATGATTCTTTCAAATTACTTCAAAAATAAGATAAGGAATTCGCGAGATTCTTTCAACCTACTTCAAAAATAAAACACAAAGGGTCCCCGGGATTCTTTCAAACCACTTCAAAAACAAAACACAAGCGGTCCCTGAGATTCTTTCAAACTACTTTAAAAACCAGACACATGAGGCCCGCTAGATTCTTTCATATTACGTACTTCAAAATGAAAACACAAGTGGTCCACGAGATTCTTTGAAATTACTTCAGTAACAAGAGAAGGGATCTCAAAAAACAACAACAAGGGTCCCCGAGATTCTTTCAACTTACTTCAAAAACCAAACACAAGGGGCCCCCGAGATTCTTTCATATTGCTTCAAAAAAATACACAGAAATATTTCCCAGATTCTTACAAATTACTTCAAAAGGGAGGCATCATGAATCACGAAAATTTGAGATTATTTGAAATTACTTCAAAAGCAAGACAAGATATTTCCGAAATTCTTTCAAACTACTTCAAAACTCAGATACAAATGGTCCCGAGATTTTTTCAGACCACTTCAAAAATAAAATACAAGTGATTTCTGCGGTTCTTTCAAATTACTTCAAAAACAAGATCCATAGCGATCCCCAAGATTATTTCAAAATACCTTAAAAACAGGACAAGTAATCCCCGAGATTCTTTCAAACTACTTCAAACAAAAGATAATATGTTGGCGAAATTCTTTCAAGCTACTTCAAAAATAAAAAAAAATCGGATCCCCGAGATTCTTTCAAATTACTTCAAAAACAAGATCCACAGTGGGTTTCCAAGATTCTTTCAAACTACTTAAAAAACAAGACAGGATATTCCCGAGATTCTTTCAAGCTACTTCAAAAATAAAATGAAGCGGATCCCCGAGATTCTTTCAAATTACTTCAAAAACAAAATCCACAGGGGTGTCTGAAATTCTTTAAAACTACTTCAAAAACAAGATAAGATATTCTCTAGATTCTTTCAAAAATAAAACAAAACAGATCCCCGAGATTCTTCAAATTACTTCTAAAACAAGATCCAAAGTGAGTCTCCTAGATTCTTTCAAACTACGCAAAAACAAGACAAGTTATTCCCGTGATGCTTTCAAGGTACTTCAAAAATAAAACAAAGCGGATCCCCGAGATTTTTCCAAATTACTTCAAAAATAAAATCCACAGGGATCTCTGAGATTCTTTCAAACTACTTCAAAAACAAGACAAGATATTCCCTAAATTCTTTCAAGCTATTTCAAAACCCCGAGATTCTTTCAAATTACATCAATAACAAGACAAGGGATCTCCAAGATTCTTTCAAACTACTTCAAAAACCAAGCCCAAGAGGTCTCCGAGATTCCTTCATATTGCTTCAAAAACAATACACAGAAATATTTCCAAGATTTTTACAAATTACTTCAAAATCGGAACATCACGGGTCATGGAACTTTGAGATTCTTTCAAACTATTTTAAAAACAAAACACAAGCGATCTCTGGAATTCTTTCAGAAACAAGATCCATTGGGGTCCTTAAGATTATTAGTTCAAATTACCGTAAAAACAAGAAAAGCAATCCCCGAGATTCTTTCAAACTACTTCAAAATTAAAACAAAAGGAGTCCCCGAAATTCTTTCAAACTACTTCAAAAACAAGACAAGATATTTCCGAGATTCTTCCAAATTACTTCAAAAACAAGCTCCACAGAGGGCTCCGAAATTCTTTCAAACTACTTCAAAAACAAGACACGATTTTTCCGAGATTCTTTAAAGCTACTTCAAAAATAAAACAAGGCGGATCTCCGAAATTCTTCCAAATTATCCACAGGGTGTCTCTGAGATTCCTTCTAAAACTACTTCAAAAACAATAAAACAGATTTCCGAGATTTTTTCAAGCTACTTCAAAAATAAAATAAACGGATCCCCGAACTTCTTCCAAATTACTTCAAAAATAAAATGCATAGGGAGTCTCTGAGACTCTTTCAAAGTACTTCAAAAACAAGACAAGATATCCCTAAAATTCTTTCAAGCTACTTCAAAAATAAAACAAATCACATCTCAGAGATTCTTCCAAATTACTTTAAAAACAAGATTCACGGGGGGTCTCCGAGATTCTTTCAAACTATTTCAAAAACAATACAATATATTTCGGAGAATCTTTTAAGCTACTTTAAAAATAAAGTAAAGCGGATCCCCAAGATTCTTGAACTTACTTCAGAAACAAGATCCACAGGGGATCTCCCAGATTTTTTTCGAACTACTTCAAAAACAAAACACAAAGGATCTCAGAGATTCTTTCAAACTACTTCAAAAACAAGACAATATACATATTCCCGAGATTCTTTCAAGCTACTTCAAAAACAAAACAAATCGGAGCCCCAGGTTCTTCCAAATTACTTCAAAAACAAAATCCGCAGGGGTCTCTGAGGTTCTTTCAAATTAAGACATCAAAAAAAGGCAAGATATTCTCGGCATTTTTTCAAGCTACTTTAAAAATAAAATAAAGCGGATCCCCGAGTTCTTCAAATTACGTCAAAAAAAGATCCACAGGGGGTCTCCGAGATTCTTTAAATTACTTTAAAAACAAAATCCACAGGGAGTCTCCAAGATTCTTTCAAACTACTTCGAAAACAAGAGAATATATTGCCGATATTTTTTCAAGCTATGTACTTCAAAAATAAAACAAAGCGGATCGCCGAGATTCTTCAAATCACTTGAAAAACAAGATCTACAGGGGGTCTTCGAGATTCTTCAAATTACTTCAAAAACAAAATCCGCAGAGGGCTCCGAAATTCTTTCAAACGAAGTAGTTGAAAAACAAGACAAGATATTCCCGAGATTCTTTCAAGCTACTCCGAAAATAAAACAAAGCGGATCCCCGAGATTCTTCAAATTACTTCAAAAAAAAAAAAAAGATCCACAGGGAGTCTCCGAGATCCTTTAAATTACTTTAAAAACAAAATCCACAGGGAGTCTCCAAGATTCTTCCAAACTACTTCGAAAACAAGAAAAGATATTCCCGATATTCTTTCAAAATAAAACAAAGCGGATTGCTGAGATTCGTCAAATTACTTCAAAAACAAGATCCACATGGAGTCTCCGAGATTCTTCGAATTACGGCAAAAACAAGATCCACAGGAGGTCTCCGAAATTCTTTCAAACTATGCACTTCAAAAACAAGACAAGTTATTCCCGAAATTTTTCAAGCAACTTCAAAAATAAAACAAAGCGAATCCCTAAGATTCTTCAAATTACTTCAGAAACAAAATCCGCAGAGGGCTCCGAAATTTTTTCAAACTAAGTACTTCAAAAACCGGACAAGATATTCCCGAGATTTTTTCAAGCAACTTCAAAAATAAAACAAAGCGAATCCCAGAGATTCTTCAAATTACTTCAAAAACAAAATCAGCAGAGGGCTCCGAAATTTTTTCAAACTACTTCAAAAACAAAACACAAAGGGCTTCCGAGATTCTTTCAAAACTATTTCAAAACAAGACAAGGTATTCCCGAGATTCTTTCAAGTTACTTCAAAAATAAAACAAAGCGGATCCCCGAAATTCTTCAAATTACTTAAAAAAAAGATCCACAGGGGGTCTCCGAGATTCTTTAAATTACTTTAAAAACAAAATCCACAGGTAGTCTCCAAGATTCTTTCAAACTACTTCGAAAACAAGAGAAGATATTCCCGATATTCTTTCAAGCTACTTCAAAACTAAAACTAAGCGGATTGCTGAGATTCTTCAAATTACTTCAAAAACAAGATCCACAGGGGGTCTCCGAGATTCTTCAAATTACGTTAAAAACACGATCCACAGGAGGTCTCCGAAATTCTTACAAACTACTTCAAAAACAAAACACAAAGGGTCTTCGAGATTCTTTCAAACCACTTCAAAAACAAGACAAAATATTCCCGAGATTTTTCAAGCTACTCCGAAAATAAAACAAAGCGGATCCCCGAGATTCTTCAAATTACTTCAAAAACAAGAGCAACAGGGGGTCTCCGAGAATATTTAAATTACTTTAAAAACAAAATCCACAGGGAGTCTACAAGATTCTTTCAAACTACTTCGAAAACAAGAGAAGATATTCCCGATATTTTTTCAAGCTCTTACTTCAAAAATAAAACAAAGCGGATCGCCGAGATTCTTCAAATTACTTCAAAAACAAAATCCGCACAAAGGACTCCGAAATTCTTTCAAACTACTTCAAAAACAAAACACAAAGGGTCTCCGAGATTCTTTCAAACTACTTCAAAACAAGTCAAGATATTCCCGAAATTCTTTCAAGCTACTTCAAATATAAAACGAATCGGATTCCCGCGATTCTTCCAAATTACTTCAAAATCAAGATCCACAGGGACTGTCCTAGATTGTTTCAAACTACTTCAAAAACAATTCAAGATATTCCCGACATTCTTTCAAGCTACTTCAAAAATAAAACAAAGCGAATCTCTGAGATTCTTCCAAATTGCTTCAAAACTAAGATCCACAAGGGGGTCTCCAAAAATTTTTCAAGCTACTTCAAAAATAATCATCAGGTTTTTATCCATACTTTTTTTCATTTTATAATGTTAACACCAACTAAAAAATTGTTGAGATTGAATGTGACAATAGTGGCTAATTTTGCATTGTTTTCATCTGTTTAACCTAAATCGATATGTTGTTTTCAAAAATGGAAGTCAGTTTTTCATAATGAATTTATTAGATTTTTGAACTTCATAATGTACCTACCGTTGAGTTAGTGCTCCATTTTTTAATCACGCTGTATAGTTATACAGCCAAGAAGAGATCAATCGCAGTATTTATATTGAAAATAATTTTGGTATATGGTCTCCAAAGAACTGTATCTACAACTTCAGTTTTAGACTTATTTGTATGTCCAATAATTAAGGAGATAACAAAGAATTCCGAATTTTGAGAAAATTATGTAAACCGTTTTTTGATTTAACCAAAAAAATAAACTGCTTATTTCACTAATTTTTGAGACACTTTCCCTATAACTAATACAATTTTGACATGACATGAAAAAATTTTCCACTTCTACGCAATATTCTAAATATTTCTAAAATTTCACAATAAGTTTAGGAGTTTCCGAGATTGTCTGTTTAATAAAATCGCCAACGGAAGTCTGTAACGCGAAAAGTAAAAAATAAAAATGAAGTTAGAAATGGAAAAAATTAATTGAGGATAACTAACTGTTATCTGCTTTGACTACAAAGAAAATCGTTCGCTCCCTCACGTGATGCATATCGGTGTTGTAAATTGTGGTATTATGTGCTTGATCTACAAAATCTTACCCACAATAGTGTTCTAATATAAATGTGTGATTAATCGATTACCAAAATTAAAAACAACTTGAAGTGGTTAGTTGTTTCACTAAATAAGGATCTCGAAGCTTACTGAGTGATGGATACGTTCGACAGGATAAAAATTTGTCATGTTGATTTTAATTTACTTAAGTTTTTTTGTAACTACTAGAAATTGCTGAAATACCTGACCACTAATGAGACTTATTTATTTATCTACAGTTTCCCAACTTGTCATACTTACATGTATGCATGCATTGTTTCTCACAGCTAACTTGACATATTTTTTGTTCGGTCTACAAAATGTCGGTGATTAACGTTGTAGTAATTTTCCCAATAAGTTATCAACGACAATTAAAATCAAACAGCTGGTAATGTATATCAAAATTAAACAAAAATTGGAGATTTTGATTGATTGATTAATTTTTTATCAAATCAATGTGATGACGTAAGGTTTTTGTAAATAGTGTAGGACTTCTTGAAAAAAATAAAGATCCAATAATAACATTAAAATTAACAAATAGTTCATTTATCTCTATAAACTAGACCCATTTCGGTGTTTGGATTAGAAAAGGATTAGAAATCACCTAATTTCAAATCTTAAAATAGAAATAAAACATTTTTGCCCTCAAATTCTAAGCTTCCTCCAGCTTAACGTACGTACGTCACCCAAACTAGATAATTTTGTGGAAAATCACCAAACAGCTGAAAAAATCAAAGGATAAAAACATCCCATAAACTTAAGCCGCTCACATAAATTTCCGAGAAACAATACCGATTATCCTAATCTCCACAAATCCACTTCAGATTTCCACAAACAACGAGACAAACACTCAAAAACGCTCACCTTGATACAATTTATTTAACACAAAAAAATCATTTTTACGATTCACATTGAAACCACTTTCGCGCCCGATCATCAGTTCATTACAGTTTATGTATTCAAACTGCTTTAAACAGTAGTATGAGTGACCGATCACCCTATCTGCGTCCAATACTGTCCCCGCGCCCCTTCCTGACGGGGGTGTCTTCTATTATTACATCAACAAGCCACTTGATTTGAGCGAATTATCCGGTGTGGGTCGCATCGAGGACGTGGTGGTAAAACGTAACAGTAAAAATATGCAACCATATATTACAAAATAAATACGCTTTTCCAAAAAAACGGCAAATTTTCATAAACTGACGTTTAAAGCAAAAACAGAAACGACAATTTCGTCGTCAGTGTGACAATTTTAATTTTTTTTTTAACAATGTTCGCAACTATGTTGCTCCTAAAGCGAGTACTGTAAAAGCAACGACAGAAATTAAGTCATGAAGATTTTTTTTTATTGTTTCATTTGAGGATAGTTCCCTGGAAATTATCCATCAGGTATCATTTTTCCTCACTTCCCGTAGTCGAAAAGTCATCGATACCCTCACTCCGCCCGCTCGCCACCTGACAACAACTTAATACATCCCAATAACCATCGATCCGGAAGTCCTTTACATTCCCACCTTCGACATTTCCACAAAACCACCCCACACTTTTATTTTTGGTATTGTTTCAAAATAAAACTATTGTCCCTTTGTCGCGAAGGGCGGCGCATCCGTTTAATCCCTGCGGTTCGCCGGCCCTTCGACCAATCGGAGCCGGTTCTGCGCTATTATCCTGACATGGCGTCGCATGATGCGATCGATTGCGTAAGCTCGCAATTCCTGCTAGAGATAAATTGTTTGACTGTGAAAACAAATATTTCCCACCCTGCAAGCTGTACTTCCTTCTGGTAAAAAATGCGGGGATTATTTTTCGTAAGATGCCTGAGACGGTGTTGGGTTACGCCTTGTCCTGACCTGAAACTATGGGGTATCAATTTTCAAGTATTTATACTTGAGTGAGTAAAAATGGAGAAAATAAAGTAAGAATGACGTGTTGTGGGGTTTTTTATTCATGATAGTGGCAAGATATGGTGCAGCGAAATGTGGCTTGGGTGGGAAAATCAAAAATTTTTTCACAAAAATTTAGAGGAAATTGTTCCATTGATGGAGCACCATCTTGTTGAAACTAAATTACACAAAACGCGTCTAATCTCGTCTTGAAAGTTGCTGCTTGAATGCATCTAGACACTTATTTTGCTGGAACTTTAATCATCTGTAAAATCAATATTCAGACCTAAAGTGCCACTTCATTTATTTTATTATAATGCTAATACAGGATACATTTACGATAATGTAGTAGATAAGAGGATAAGAGACACACGTTAGACGATACGTCTCCGATGCTGATCCGTTTAATGTTCACGTGTCTGTAAGTAGGGTCCCTCATCTCGATAAGCCTTTAAAAAAATATGATACAGGAAAGTACACTTTTTTTTTACGAATCTATACATTTCATACTTTTCTTTAAAAAATGCACGCAATTTTTGTGTTTATCTTAATTACTAACAATTTGATGACGTCATCTCAGAATTGCTAAGTAACTTCCTATAGAAATTTATGTATAAATAATGCATCCATATTTTTAATTTTGCGTATGTACCTACACATATAGTTTATCATAAAAAAAATATTTGGTGATCGAAATTTTATATTTATCTTAAAACCTATACATATAACGAATCCTTGTGAAATTTGGTACGATCGCAACATTGATTTAATGATTACAGAACATTGATTAAAATTATTTGTTCATACCCTGTAGACAACTGATAACGTCATCACTAAATGTTATATATTAAGAAATCCTATTTGAAACATGCTGCGATTTATAAAATATATAAGTATATTCAATTTTTTCATTTTTAAAGATTCGCCAGTTTTTCGCTTTTACGATTTCCCTATTTTTCCATATTTCCAATATTACATTTTTTCTATTAAGTATTTTTTTTTATTTTGCAATTTTTCGAATTTCAAATTTTTCAGTTGATCGATTTCAACTTTTGAATTTTTCAGTTATTCGCTTTTTCAATTATTAGTTTCTCCAGTTTTTGGATCTGAAAAATTTCGATTAGAGATATATTTTTCAAATTTTAGAGATGTTAATTTTTCGTTTTTTCAGCTTCTCCTTACAATGTGTCAGTTTTTTGATTTGCATCTTTACAGTTTTAGAATTGTTTGACTTTAAACTTTTCGTTATTTCGATTTCTTGATTGTTCAATTTACAGTTTTTCATTTTTACAATTTTTCTATTTTAGTTTTCGTTTCTTCGATTTTTCGGTTTTTCGATTTTTTCTTTTTCGCTTTTAACATTTCTGTATTTTTATTGTTGTCTGGTTGTTCAACGTTTGAATTTTTGAATTGTCTAAGTTTCGAGCTTGAATGATTCAATTTTTGGTTTCTTCAGTTTATCGATGTGCACTTTTTGGATTTTATATTTTTTCCATCTTTGATTTTTCAGTTTCACGACTTTCTAGGTTTATACTTTTGGTTTTTTCGAATTTTTAGTTTTTCGTGTCATCAATTTTTCACTGTTCTACTATTATCTTTAATTTTTCAATTTTTAGATATTTCAGTTTTATATTTTATCGGATTTTGATTTTCAGATTTTGATTTTTTCATTTATTCAATTTTTTGTTCCTTCAATTTTTCGATTTACAATTTATTTTTATTCTACGATTTTTTCGATTTTACTTTTTTCGTTGTCCGATTTTTCAGTTTCTCGATTTTCCTTCCTCAGTGTTACAATTTCTGGGTTTTCAATTTTTCGAAGTTCCAGCTTTTATTTTCTACAGTTCTAAGATTTTACAGTTTTTCAATTTTTAATTATGTAGTTTCTATATTTTTCGATTGTTCAATTTTTCGTATCGTCAATTTTTCAATATTTCAATTTTTAGATCTTACAATTTATCGATCTTTTGTTTTTCAGTTTCACATTTTTTTATATTTCGACGTTTCAATTACTGGTCTCTTCAATTTTTCGATTTAGAATTCTTCAATTTTACAATTATTTGATTTTACACTTTTAGCTTTTTCGATTTTTCAGTTTCACAGTTTTTTTTCCTTTCTTTTATTATACAATTTTTCAATTTTTCAGTTTCTCGATTTTACACTATTTCAATTTTTAGATATGTTAATTTTTCGTTTCAAATTTTTTATTTTTCAACTTTCGAAATTTTCGATTGATCAGTTTTTCGTTTCTTTGCTTATTCGATTAGAATTTTTTCAATTTTACAATTTTTTGGTTTTACGCTTTCGGATTTTTCACTGTTTCAGTTTTTAGATCTTACAATTTATCTTTTTTTGATTTTTCAATTTCTCTATTTTTTATTTTTCGACGTTTCAACTATTGGTTTCTTCAATTTTTCAATTTAGAATTTTTCTATGTTACACTTTTAACTATTTCGATTTTTCAGTTTCATGTTTTTTTTTTTCGATTTACCTTCCTTTTATTTTACAATTTTTCAATTTTTCAGGTTCTCGATTTTTCAATTAAGAACTTTAAAATTTTCGATGCTCCAATTTTAATTTTTTCAATTCTCCGATTTTATAGTTTTTCAGTTTTTAGAAATTTTTATTTTTCGTTTCAAAATTTTGGTTTTTCAACGTTTGAAATTTTCAATTAAGTATACAGTTTTTCGTTTCTTCAACTTTTCAATGTACAATTTTTCGATTTTTCCGTTCTTCAATTTCTCCGTTTTTAATTTTTCGATGTTGCAATTGTTGTTTTTTCAGTTTTTGGATTTACAATTTTTCAGTTTTACAGTTTTTCGAAGTTTTATCAGCAATTCGATTTTTCAGTTTCTCGATTTTACAGTTAGAATTTTTAAATTTTCGATGTTTCAATTCCATTTTTTTTCAATTCTTCGATTTCAAAGTTTTTCAATTTTTAGACATTTTAATATTCCGTTTCAATTTTTGATTTTTCATCTTTTGAGATTTTCAATTATTCAGTTTTTCGTTTCTTCATCCTTTCGATGTACAATTTTTCGATTATTCTTCAATTTCTCCTATTTTAATTTTTCGATGTTTCGATTATTATTAGCTTTTCAATTTTTCGGTTTGCAATTTTTCAATTTTAGAATTCTTCCATTTATTATTATTCGAGTTTTATTTTTTAAATTTTCGATTTACAAACTTTTAATTTTAGAATGTTTCTCTTTTACACTTTACGATTTTTGAATTTTCCGATTTTAGGATTCTGTATTTTTAATTCTTCGTTTTTTCAATTTTTGATTTTTCAACTTTTGAATTTTTCAATTTTTCGATTTTTACTTTCCCATTTTTAATTTTTCGTGTTTAAAATTTTTATTTTTCCAACTTTTCAATCTTCAATTTCTGAATTTTTAATTTTTGAACTTCAGTTATTCAATTTTTGGTTTTTTCAATTTAGCAGTGTGCAATTTTTAAATCATATATTTTTTCAATTTTTGGTTTTTCAGTTTCCCCATTTTTTTCAGTGTTTTTGTTATTCGTGTCTTCAATTTTTCGATTTACAATTTTTCAGTTTTACAATTTTTTAGTTTTACGCTTTTGGTTTTTCGATTGTTCAGTTTTTCTTCTTATATATTTTTTGATTTTTTATTTCTCAATTTTTCAGTTTTTCGTTTCTTCAATTTTTCAATGTTTTTGATTATGTTAGTTTTTAAAATTTTTCAATTTTGAGACATTTCAATTTTTTTATTTTATCAATATTTGATTTCTCCAAGTGCTTGATGTCCAATTTTATAATTACAATTTTATCCATTTTTCGACTTTTCAATTTATCCATTTTTTATTTTTCAATATTTCAGTTATTCGTTTTTTCAATGTTTCATTTTAATTTTTCAATTTTAGGCTTTTTCAATTTTCGAAATTTTGAATTAGTCATTAGTTTATCGTTCTTCAATAATTCGATTTGCATTTTTTCAATTTTATAATTGCTTAGTTTTAAAATTTCGGTTTTTTCGATGTTTTAAATTCTTAGTTTAGATAATTTTGGATATTCAATTTTTCGTATCATCGATGTTTTAATGTTTCCGTTTTTAGGTTCTTTAAATTTTCAATATTATTTTCCACATTTGAATTTTTTTTTTCAAATTTTGATTTTCAAAATTTTAATTTTTTCAATTGTTCCATTTTCGATATGCAATTTTTAGATCTTATAATTTATTTATTTTTGATTTTTCAGTTTCTCTATTTTTTATTTTTCGACTTTTCACTTATATGTATTCAATTTTTCGATTGCACACTTTTGGCTTTTCCGATTTTTCCGTTTTTCGATTTTTTATTTTTCTAATTACTTTTTTTTTATTCTACAATTTTTCGATTTTTCAGTTTCACTCGATTCCAATTTCGAAATTTTTCGGTACACCAATTTTAATTTCTTTCAATTCTTCGATTTTACAGTTTTTCGATTTTTAAACATTTTAAGTTTTCGTCTTAATTTTTGATTTTCTAACTTTTGAAATTTTCAATTATTCAGATTTTTTCGATTTTTTGGTTCTCCAATTTCTCCGTTTTTAATTTTTCGATGCTGCAATTATTGGTTTTTCAATTTTTCGGTTTGCAATTTTTCAATTTTACAGTTTTTCGATTTTTTTTTATTCGATTTTTGTTTCTTCAATTTTTCGATTTACCTTTTTTTTTAATTTTACATTTTTCGATTTTACACTTTCGGTTTATTCGATTTTTCAGTTTCTCTATTTTCTGTTTTTCGATTTTCATATCTTATAATTTTTTGATTTTTCGGTTCTTCAATTTCTCCGTTTTTAATTTTTCGATGTTGTAATTATGTATTGATTTTTCAATTTTCCGGTTTGCAATTTTACAATTTTTCGATTTTTTTTATTCGATTTTTTGTTTCTTCAATTTTCTTTTTTTTTCTTATTTTACATTTTCCGATTTTATAATTTTTCGATTTTTAATGCTTCGATTTTTCGATTTTTCAGTTCCCGATTTTTAATTTTTTGTTTATTAAATTTTTATTTTTTCAGCTTTTTAATCTTCGATTTTTGAATCTTTAATTTTTGAACTTCAGTTGTTCAGTTTTGGTTTCTTCAATTTATCAGCGTGCAATTTTTGGATCATACTTATATTTTTTCTATTTTTCGGTTTTTCAGTTTCCCCTTTTTTTTTCATTATTTCTATTATTCGTTTCTTCAATTTTTCGATTTACAATTTTTCAGTTTAACAATTTTTTAGTTTTACGCTTTCGATTTTTCGATTGTTCAATTATTCTTCTTTTATATTTTTTGGATTTTTCAGTATCTCGTGTCGTCAATGTTTCAGTTTTTAGTTCCTTTAAAGTTTCAATATTTACACATTTTATTTATTTTTTGTTTTTTCAAATTTTAATTTGCAAAATTTTATAGTTTTTCGATTTTTTTTATTCGATTTTTTTTTCTTCAATTTTTCGATTTACTTTTTTTTTAATTTTACATTTTCCGATTTTACACTTTCAGTTTATTCGATTTTTCAGTTTCTCTATTTTTTGTTTTTCGATTTTCATATCTTATAATTTTTTGATTTTTCAGTTCTTCAATTTCTCCGTTTTTAATTTTTCGATGTTGTAATTATGTATTGATTTTTCAATTTTCCGGTTTGCAATTTTACAATTTTTCGATTTTTTTTATTCGATTTTTTGTTTCTTCAATTTTCTTCTTTTTTCTTATTTTACACTTTCCGATTTTATAATTTTTCGGTTTTTAATGTTTCGATGTTTCGATTTTTTCTTCACTTTTTCGATTTTACATTTTTTTACATTTTCATTTTTCGTTTTTTCAATTTTTGATTCAACTATTGCATTTTTCAATTTTTCAATGCGGAAAGATTCGATTTTTCGATTTTTCAGTTCCCGATTTTTAATTTTTTGTTTATTAAATTTTTATTTTTTCAGCTTTTTAATCTTCGATTTTTGAATTTTTAATTTTTGAACTTCAGTTGTTCAGTTTTGGTTTCTTCAATTTATCAGCGTGCAATTTTTGGATCATACTTATATTTTTTCCATTTTTCGGTTTTTCAGTTTCCCCTTTTTTTTCATTATTTCTATTATTTGTTTCTTCAATTTTTCGATTTACAATTTTTTAGTTTTACGCTTTCGATTTTTCGATTGTTCAGTTATTCTTCTTTTATATTTTTTGGATTTTTCAATATCTCGTATCGTCAATGTTTCAGTTTTTAGTTCCTTTAAAGTTTCCATATTTACACATTTTTACTTTTTGTTTTTTCAAATTTGAATTTTCAAAATTTTGATTTTTTGCAATTATTCAGTTTTTCGTTTCTTACATTTTTCGATTATTCAATTTTTCAATTTCTCCGTTTTTAATTTTTCGATGTTGCAATTATTGGTTTGCAATTTTTCAAGTTTACAATTTTTTGATTTTTTGTATTCAATTTTTTATTTCTTGAATTTTTCGATTTATTTTTTTTTTATTTAGGTACATTTTTCCGATTTTACACTTTCGATTTTTTCAATTTTTAATTGATGTTTCGATTTTTTCTTCCCTTTTCGTTTTTTCAATTTTGGATTTTCGCCTTTTAATATTTTAATTATTCAATTTTTCATTTGTTTCTTCAATTTTTCGCTGTATAATTTTCCAGTTTTTAGTTTTTCGGTGTTTCAGTTATTCGTTTTTTCAATCTTTCGATTTGCAGTTTTTCAGTTTTACATTTCTCGACTTTCCAGTTTCTGGATTTTTCTTTACCAATATTTCAATTTTTAGATTTTTAGATTATTCAATTTTTCGGTTTCTCCCTGTTCCAGTTTTTCCAAAAAACAGCTCGTTCCTGCATTGAAAATATTCCAAAATTTCTATATTCATAGTTTTTCAGAATTTCAGTTATAAATTTAAAGAAACAAAAAATTAAATAACCCAAAAGTTTCAAAATAAAAATCGAAAATCTGACAAAATCTTTCAAAATTAACAAATGCTCAATTTTTGTAAGAATGGGCTGATTTCCAGAGAATCCAGGTAGACCAAAATCTCCATAGAAGCATGCTACCAAAAGCAAAATTCAATCACCCACCCACTCCAACCCCAAAACTACCCCATCGGAAGCACCTACCATTTAATTACATAACCGATATTTATCTACAACCACTTCGACAAATGATTGCGGCTAAAATCATTGGTGTTAAATATCACAAAGCCACGTGCCACGACTTAGCAGCACACTCCCTTTTGTTACTTTCATCCTCAGCTCCAACAGCGATGACCGAGTCTGAATAAACAAAAGTTGTTTGGCCAAGTGGCCTCCTCGCCAGAGATCATATCGAATTTAATTTATTCAGTGGTAGCGACCACCTGTATTTGGCCTACGGATTTCTGAACTTACCTGCTCCCCGGAGTGTTTGTTTAGTGTAATGTGCATGATAGATACTTTCGATTTTTTTATTGTGAGGGGATGTATCTGTACGAATTTAATTGGCATGAGAGCGTCGCGACGCTGCTCGATGAAGACGGACGTCAGTACGGGCATTAATTTAATAAGGCAGTGGCTGAAGCCACCAAAGTGTCGTGCTGAAAGTTCTGGGAAACCTTTTGACTTCTAATCGATAGTAATTAGGTAGAACGCACGCGAATTTGGTGACGGGAATTTTTCTCATTTGGAAAATGACTAACAATAAGAGTTTTATTGACACGATTAAGGATGCTAAAGTTTAAATTTATGAGGAGATACCTACTTACTGTTATTTTTTTTAATTGTGTATCAGATTTAATCTTTGAGTGTAGAACTTTAACATACTCGAACACACGAGCTGTTGCAATTATCTAACGATCTTATAAACAACTATTAATTTGAAAATTCGTAGAATCTCGGAAATTTATGTATGTAGGTACTTACTGTCATACAATAACAATAAACAAGATAACATTTTTCAGTCATATTCGTGTCTACTGTCGCTAAAATTTGATAATATATGAAGATAGAAAATGTGCAAAGGTTTGAGAGTCACTGGTAACCTTGACATCTTAACCTCACTTACGCCCTTGAATTAACGTCGTCGCGATTTTTTGCCATTTTTTTTTTCCTGAAATAAAACGAGAATGTCCATAAAATCAATGCATTTACGTTCGCTTACTCCGATTTCGTCGACTGAGACAAAAATTAGACATTTTTAAACGAATTCAGTGGCTCTAAACATTTTTTCGACAGCAGTTGCAACGTTATCAATCAATGTCAAAATTACGCAAACAAAACTCAGAAAAAAATATTTAATGATTACATATACAGTACATTAAAAAATAAAAATATTTATTTCGACGACAGCTTTGCATTCATTTGTTCATATTCGACCTTCATTTGTGCCAGCTGTTCACTCGCCTCGTGTAAATTTGGTTTTAAACCATGATAACGACTCAATTCTTCAACTAATTCCTCCTTCTGTGTCCTTGCCATTATCAATAAATTAATCTCCTTTGATATATTGGGCAAACTGTAGTCATTATTTTTTAACCACGGGTACTTTTTCTAAAAAAAAACAAACTAGAAAACGCTAAAACCCAACAAATCTGCACCTCTAGTTTGGTTAATTCGTGTTCATATCTACTGATTTTCTTTTCAATGATTTTCAGTTCATCTTCTGGTCCTAGTGAGGTTATGGTCATGTTGACGTTAGAATTGTGTGGTGCCGCTGCCATTTCATTGACACTTATTTCCACTTGCTCTTGGTAACTAGAAATATCAGTTAGATATTATACACCCTGTTAAATTGGTCACCTTTTCAAGTGTTTCACTTTCTTCAACAACGCCTCATTTAATTCCATATACATCTTAATACAGATTTTTATTTTAACCGCGTAATTGTTGTGTTTTCTCAATTTATCAGCGTGTGATAGCGCTACAGAAGTAGGTGTCACTTCCTTCAAATCAAACTGCTGCTGCAGCTGATTTAGTTTCTCCGTGAGCTCCACACATTCCTCAAACATTTTTAGTTGTTCATCAATCAGACCCAGTTTTAGAAAAACCGACTCCATTTTCGCCGCTAAAAACAGACTTGAGGACTGCATTGATACGTTTACAACGAAACCTACTTTCCTCTTGGTAGTAACTGGTTTTCAGTTTAAGCTGATTGAGCAGTTCTTGGACGTCGCTGGACTCGGCCATGGTTAAGCACTCGTCCAAACTACAACTGAACGCTTTTTCTGGGTCTTTCTTCATTTCCAGGCGTTTTTCTACCAGTTTTTGCAAACGAGTGTTTTGATTACTCTTTTTCTTTTTGAAATATACAAACAGGGATGAAGTTGCAGAAACGTCAAACTGGAATCGCAGCCAACCGTTAACGATGAAAACCCTAAACGCGGCTACGTTTTTTAAATTAACTTTCTCTTATTATTATGGTTTCAGATTGTTAAAACGTGAAACGAATTTGTTGAAATTCGTTTAAACAAAAATAATTGCAGCAAAATTATTATTTAACTAGTCTTCCGTGCCTATCTTCACCATCATAACCCAAAATCAAAACAAAAATGGCGGAAGATGACGAGATTGATATTCTGGGAGATTTTAATTTAGATAGTTTTTTAACAAAAAACGACTCCGGAATGTGAGTTTACGCCTGATTTATCACGCATTTTGGTTAAATAACGTAAAAATTGTTGTTTTTTGTAGCTACGAAAACACGTCTCTGGTGTCCCAAAACTCGGAATTACTCAACTGCGAATACACCATTCACCCCCAGTGGCTCCTCGATAAACCCAGTGCGAACCCGGATTGCTGGTACGACAACGGTTCGGCTCTCGCCACCGAAAAACCGCCAAGCGATTTTGAGGTTAGTGATGCTGGTAATTTGGGACATGTTTCCACTGAAAACGCCATCACCGACGAGAGCGGGTGGACGGAAAAGGAGAAAAACCTCCTAGAACGGGGCATCGAAATTTTCGGCAAAAGCAACATACGGTTGGCGCAGTTCATCGGGTCTAGAACGCCAGCGGAAGTCAAGTATTACCTGAAGAACTTCTACATGGAAGCGCAGAATGCCTACACTAGTTTCAATAGCGGAATGGTCGAGGAAGTAAGCATTGTTAATAATTTAGTTTCGGATATTTTAGATGATACTCAGGTGAGTTTGAAAACTGGCCATAATGGTTCTCATTTTTCGGTCACAGATTCCCGCCAGTATCGAGGAAGTTATAGCTGCGGTGAGCACGGCGAAGCCGACTGTGCCTGTTAAACAGTCGCGGAAGAAAAGTGTGTCGTTTAATAGCACCGACGACGACGAACCATCAGACGTTTCTGTACACTCGATCGCGAAAATTGGCTTTGGTGATAGTCACAAGTACGAATACAAAAAGAAAATCAAAACTAAGTTGAAGAAGAACGTGAAGTTTAAAATTAAAACGAAATTAAAATTTCCCATGAGTCACGTTAAACAAAAAACGGTGAAAATTATGAATCAGGAGAACAAAAAAACTGAGATTGGGAGGGTGGAGATTACCACGGGGAAGGGGCTTGCGGTTCCGATTTGCGAGGGAGAAGAAATTGTAAGCTTGTTTGAGCTATAGATTGATTCATTGTTGTAATTTTTTTTTCAAGGTTAAAATCAGCAAAGATGCTTCTGATTCTGACATAGAAGTCGACATTGAAGACTCAGATGAGGACAAACCTGCTTTAAAATTTAGTATTTCCGTGTTTGCTGAGAGCAAAAACGAATGTCACAATGTTGAAGTTAAAAATGTAGAAATTCAAAATTGTACTAGTTCTAACAAATCACAAAAAACGTTTATAGATTTGTCAGTGTTAGGTGAGGTTATGGTTAAGGAGCTAACGGGGAGTGAGGTGCCAAGGTCAGAGGTCCACATTGACGAGAATTTTATAAGCGAGTTGGAGAAATTGGTGCATGGGGAGTTTTTTGAAGGCCGCCCCACTAAAACCCCTTTAAGATATCTTAAAGTAATGTTTATTTACACGAAATACGTTGTACTTATTGTTTTATTTTAGATCAGAAATCACATTATTAATTGTTGGTTATCAAGTAAACCCACTTATGTTACAAAAACGTCTATCCGTCAAGGTTTAAAAAATTGCGGAGATGTTAATTGTATAAGTCGCATCCATTGTTATTTGGAACAAACTGGTGTAATTAATTTTGGATGTGGTAAGTTTGAGTAACTACTGAAGTCTATTTTTATTTTTTCTGTTTGTTTATAGCTCAAACTAACTATATTCGTCCATTGGTTGATGTTTTCCAAGCGATAGCCCCAACCACACGTGAGAAAACTTTGAAGGAGTGTAAAACTCAGTTAAAATCGATGGGGGACTTGGGCTGTCGTCCTAGAATAAAGAGGAAATTTGCAAATGTACGTAACACATAACGTAAGCATAAGCGGACCGTCTCCGTCTGTCTGTCTGTCTGTCTGTCTGTCTGTATGTATCCGTTTTGATTAGGTTTTTTTTTTCCCTTGTATTGGTATAACGCTGACTGCTTTTCTTTTATACTGTGACTAGAATTATCCATGTTGATGACGTCATCACAATTTTAATTTTTTTATTGGTCAAATGTGAAGAATACGCACGTTTTTACATAATAATGATAAAATAAGAATGTTCATATTCAGAACATTTTGTGCGATTGTGGTTTAATTAATAATTTTAGTTCTGTTTTGAAAAGACAAACTCATTCAAATCAAACTAAATGCTACGTGACATTATTTCGATGTATAAACATAAATAAACACTTGAGCTTCAGATTTCTGTTACCTAGTGCTGAAGGACAAGGGGTGTTATTTATGCCTGTGGTTTTTACTTTACAGCGGCTATCATAAACGAAAATCGTAAAATCAGATTTTATCATTTTTTTTAAAGAGCTGGATTTGTCGGATTGGACCAATTTTTTATTGATTTTGTTAATCAAAATTTATCTGTATATATCCCCCAAAAAATTGATGGCGTCATTTCAAGATTTATCTTAGCTTATCTTAGCAAGTACTACCCTCTGAGAAAATAAATAACGGGTGGGCGGGACTAGTACTTGCTAACATAAGTCTTATTTTGACAAATGACATATACTCTGCGAAAATAGGGGGTGGGTGGGCGGGGCTAGTACTTAGTAAGATAAGACTGATTTTGGCAAATAATATATCCTCTGGGAAAATAGGGGGCGGGCGGGCGGGCCTAATATTTATTAAAATAAAACTGATTTTGCCCCTATTAATCTTGTAAATACTTGTGAAATTTAAAGGTGTTATCTACCCGAAATGTGGAAAATATAATGAGTTTTTACTTGTGATTTATCATTGCGTTCATATTTTTTAGATTTGCTTATAGAAACATTAATGTCTGAGTTGTTAAAAAATAAATATCCAATCAGATTTAGGAATTTAACTCGTTAGTATGGAAATATCCAATTTAACACCTTTTAAAATTAACAAGTTTTTACAAGTTTAAAATATGTAGTCTTATCTTAGCAAGTGCTAGCCCCACCCATCCGCCCTCTATTTTCTCAGAGGATATGGCGTCTGCCAAACTCAGTCTTATCTCAGCCAGTGCTATTGCTTGCTTTTAAAAGATTCTGTAGGAAAAAGTTAAACTTAACCCCGCCCACCCGCCCGTTTTCTCATTTTTTTCGGCAGAAATAAGAAATAAATCTTATAGTAAATAAGTAATGTAACAAAAAGATTACGATTACCGCTTTTTTTTAGCAACCTACGTTTTATTACTTCTTACTTTACAAAGAAACATATAATTCACTCTTGGGACTTGGATTTTTTCGGACTCTCTTGTATTCTTTTGGACTCTTTGTATATTCTGTCGTATTCATGCGGATTCTTTCATATTCTCTCAGACTCTTTAGAATTCTTTCGAATTCTCTCTCATCCTCTCGGAATTTAGTAGGATTCTTTCATATTCTCTTGTATTCTTCCGGATTCTCTTATATTCTTTGGGATTCGTTTAGGATTCTCTTCGTAATATTTTGGATTGTTTACGTAATTTTTCCCAAATTCTTAATATTAATCTGGATTTTTTCGGATTCTCTCGTATTCTTTAGGATTCTTTTTGTATTGTTTCGCATTCTGTCTAATTCTTTGGAATTCTTTCGTATAATTTTTATTTTTTTCAAATTCTTTCGAATTCTGTTGCATTCTCTGCTATTCCCCCTCGTATTATTTCCGTTTTTTTTTTATTCTTTCCGACTTTGACTGAATTTGGCCAGTTGCTTTTTTCGTTTTCTCTCCGATTCTTTTGTATTCTTCCGGATTCTGTCCGATTCTCTTATACTTTTTTGTATTCTCTCATATTTTTTCGGATTCTTTGCGTATTATCTAAGATTTTGTCAAATTCACTGCAATTGTTTTCAGATTCACTCGGATAGTTACAAATTATACCAGATTTTCTTGGGTTTTTTCAGAAATGTCTTTCATATTCTCTCACATTCTTTGGGTTCTCACGTATTCTTTGGGATTCTTTTCGTATTCTTCCGGATTCTCTCAGATTTAGGATTTTTTCTAATTGATTAAATCAGGAACCGCTCACTCCATTTTCCTAGAAAATTTTGGAAATATAATAGTTATTTTTCAATGGCCATTTTACACTAAATAAAATAAGTCAGTGAAATAGAAAGCAGATGGGCGTGGCTAAATTTAGCTTTTCTCTAGTTTTACGAGCAAGCAGTGCCCCGCCCACCCACCCCTTCTTCATTCCAGTAACTACTCTTAAAATGGTTCAGTCCTATCTTAGCACGTTTTAGCCCCGCCCACCCACCCTTTTTTTCTTAGAGGATATGTCATTTACCAAATCAATCTAATCTTAACAAGCACTAGTCCCGCCCACCTCTAAGAAAATTGAGGGGGGCGGGCTCGGATTCTTCCAAATGTTCTCGGATTCTTTTGTGTATTCGCGGATTCTTAAGGATTCTTCCGGATTCTTTCCGATCCTTTCAGAATTTGGTCGAATTGTCTCATTATCGTGTTTTCTTTGAGATTCTTTGCAGATTCTCTTCGCATTCTTTCGGAAACTCTTGGACTCTTTGTATATTCTTTCGGATTCTGCTGCACACTCTTTCTGTTTCTTTCGAATTCTCCCCGATCCTCTCGAAATTTGGTCGATTCTTTTGGAGTATTTTTTTTACATTCTTTCGAATTCTCCCGGATCAAGAATTTATTCGGACTCTGTCGTATTCGTTCGGATTCTTTGGATATTATTTAAGTGTCAAATTCTCTGCAATTGTTGTTGTATACTTGCTCGGATACTTCCAGAATCTGTCGGATTTTATCGGATTCTTTCAGATTCATCCGGATTCTGTCATATTCTCTCGGATTCTTTCGAATTCTCTCTTATCCTCTCTGAATTTAGTAGGATTACCTCATATTGTCTGTGTTCTCCTGGATTCTCTTATATTCTTTGAGATTCTTTTAGGATTCTCTTCATAACATTTCGGATTCTGTTGAATTCTTCCGAATTATTATCGTATTCTCTCTGATTCTTGTCAGATTTCCTTGGATTCTTTCGCAGTCCTCCAGATTCTTTCAATTTTTTTCGGATTCTTTTATATGCCTGCTAAATTCTTAAGATTATTCCGGATTGTCTCCTATCCTATACTAATTTCGGATTTTTTCGGATTCTCTCGTATTCTTTAGGATTCTTTTTGTATTATTCCTATAATTTCGAATTTTTTCAAATTCTTTCAGATTCTGTTGCATTCTCTACTATTCCCTCGTATTTCCGTTTTTCTTTTTTTGGATTCTTTCCGACCTTGACTGAATTTGACCAGTTTCTTTCGTTTTCTCTCGGATTCTTTTGTATTCTTCCGGATTCTCCCCGATTCTCTTATACTTTTTTTGTATTCTCTCATATTTTTTCGGATTCTTTGCATATTATTTAAGGTTCTGTCAAATTCACTGGAATTGTTTTCAGATTCACTCGGATAATTATAAATTCTACCAGATTTTCTTGGATTCTTTCAGAAATCTCTGAATTCTTTCATATTCTCTCATATTTTTTTGGTTCTCTTATGTTCCTTGGGATTTTTTTCATATTCTTCCGGATTCTCTCAGATTTAGGATTTTTTCTAATTGATTAAATCAGGAACCGCTCACTCCATTTTCCTAGAAAATTTTGGAAATATAATACTGTTATTTTTCAATGGCCATTTTACACTAAATAAAATAATTCAGTGAAATAGAAAGCAAGCGGGCGCGGCAAAATTTAGCTTTTCTCTAGTTTTACGAGCAAGCAGTTCCCCGCCCACCCACCTCTTTTTCATTCCAGTGACTACTCTTAAAATGGTTCAGTCCTATCTTAGCAAGTTTTAGCCCCGCCCACCCACCCTTTTTTTCTTAGAGGATATGTCATTTACCAAAATCAATCTAATCTTAACAAGCACTAGTCCCGCCCACCCGCCGTCTATTTTCTTTTTCTTCTTCAATCGTATCTTTGCAGATACTAGCTCCGCCCACCTCTAAGAAAATTGAGGGCGGGTGGGCTCAGATTCTTCCAAATGTTCTCGGATTCTTTTGTGTATTCGCGGATTCTTAAGGATTATTTTCGATCCTTTCAGAATTTGGTGGAATTGTCTCATATTATCGTGTTTTCTGTAACATTCTTCGCAGATTCTCTTCGTATTCTTTCGGAAATCTTGGGACTTGGATTTTTTTGGATTCTCTCGTATCCTTTTGGACTTTTCGTATATTCTTTCGGATTCTGCTGCACACTCTTTCCGTTTCTTTCGGATTCTCCCCGATCCTCTCGAAACTTGATCGATTCTTTTATATTTTCTTTCATTCTTTCGAATTCTCTCGGATCACGAATTTATTCGGACTCTGTCGTATTCGTTCGGATTCTTTGCATATTATTTAAGTGTCAAATTCTCTGCAATTGTTGTTGTATTCTTGCTCGGATACTTCCAGAATCTTTCGGATTTTATCGGATTCTTTCAGATTCATCCGGATTCTTTCATATTCTCTCGGATTCTTTCGAATTCTCTCTTATCCTCTCTGAATTTAGTAGGATTACCTCATATTGTCTGTATTCTCCTGGATTCTCTTATATTCTTTGAGATTCTTTTAGGATTCTCTTCGTAATCTTTCGGATTCTGTTGAATTCTTTCGAATTACGGATTCTGTTGAATTCTTCCGAATTATTATCGGATTCTCTCTGATTCTTTTCAGATTTCCTTGGATTATTTCGCATTCCTTCAGATTCTTTCAAATTCTTAAGATTATTCCGGATTGTCTCCTATCCTATACGAATTTCTATCTGATTGCGAGTTTTTTCGGATTCTCTCGTATTCTTTAGGATCCTTTGTGTATTGTTTCGCATTCTGTCTAATTCCTTCGAATTCTTTCGGATAACTTCGAATTTTTTCAAATTTTTTCGGATTCTGTTGCATTCTCTCGTATTCCCTCGTATTATTTCGTTTTTTTTGTTTTTTTTTTTTTGGATTCTTTCCGACCTTGATTGAATTTGACCAATTTCTTTCGTTTCCTCTCGGACTCCTTTGTATTCTTCCCGAATCTCCCCGATCCTCTCGGTCTCCTTTGTATTCTTCCCGAATCTCCCCGATCCTCTCGGAATTTGGCCGATTGTCTTATACTTTCTTATATTCTCTCATACTTTTTCGGATTCTTTGCGTATTATTTAAGATTCTGTCAAATTCTCTGCAATTGTTTTCAGATTCTCTCTAGTTCACTCGGATAGTTATAAATTCTACCAGATTTTCTTGGATTCTTTCAGAAATGTCCGGATTCTTTCATATTCTCTCATATTCTTTTGGTTCTCTTGTATTCTTTGGGATTTCCTTCGTAATCTTTCGGATTGTTTGCGTATTTTTTCGGATTCTGTTGAATTCTTCCGAATTTTTATCGGATTCTCTCAGATTCTTGTCAGATTTCGTTGGATTCTTTCACATTCATCCAGATTCTTCCAAATTCTGTTGAATTCTTTTATATGCCTCCCAAATTCTTAAGATTATTCCGGATTGTCTCCTATCCTATACGAATTTCTATCTGATTTCGGGTTTTTTTCCGATTCTCTCGTATTCTGTGGGATTTCTTGTGCATTGGTTCGCATTCTGTTTAATTCTTTCAGATAATTTCGAATTTTTTCAAATTCTTTCCGATTCTGTTGCATTCTCTCGTATTATTTCCGTTTTTTTTTTGGCTTCTTTCCGACCTTGATTGAATTTGGCTAATTTCTTTCGTTTCCTCTCGGACTCTTTTGTATTCTTCCCGATTCTCCCCGATCTTGTCGGAATTTGGCCGATTTTCTTATAGTTTTTTATATTCTCTCATATTTTTTCGAATTCTTTGCGCATTATTTAAGATTCTGTCAAATTCTCTGCAATTGTTTTCAGATTCTCTCTGGTTCACTCGAATAGTTATAAATTCTACCAGATTTTCCTGGATTCTTTCAGAAATGTCCGGATTCTTTCATATTCTCTCATATTCTTTTGGTTCGCTTGTATTCTTTGGAATTCCCTTCGTAATCTTTCGGATTGTTTGAGTATTTTTTCGGTTTCTGTTGAGTTCTTCCGAATTTTTATCGGATTCTCTCAGATTCTTGTCAGATTTCCTTGGATTCTTTCGCGTTCATCCAGATTTTTTCAAATTCTCTCGGATTCGTTTATATGCCTCCTAAATTCTTAAGATTATTCCGGATTGTCTCCTATCCTGTACGAATTTCTATCTGATTTCGGGTTTTTTCCGATTCTCTCGTATTCCTTAGTCGAATTTTTTCAAATTCTTTCCGATCCTGTTGCATTCTCTTGTATTATTTCCGTTTTTTTTGGCTTCTTTCCGACCTTGACTGAATTTGGCCAGTTTCTTTCGTTTCCTCTAGGATTCTTTTGTATTCTTCCGGATTCTCCCCGATACTCTCGGAATTTGGCCGATTCTCTTATACTTTCTTATATTCTCTCATATTTTTTCGGATTCTTTGCGTATTAGTTAAGATTCTGTCAAATTCTCTGCAATTGTTTTCAGATTCTCTCTAGTTCACTCGGATGGTTATAAATTCTACCTGATTTTCTTGGATTCTTTCATATTCTCTTGATTCTTTTGTATTATTTGGGATTCTCTTCGGATTTAGAATTTTTTCTAATTGCTTAAATCAGGAACCGCTCACTCCATTTCTCCAGAAATTTTTTCGAATACAATACTGGTATTTTTCAATGGCCATTTTACACTAAATAAAATAAGTCTAAATTTACCTTTTTTCTAGTTTTACTCACCCCTTCTTCATTCCAGTGACTACTCTTAATATTGTTCAGTCCTATCTTAGCAAGTTTATCCCCGCCCACCCACCCTTTTTTTTCTTGGAGGATATGTCATTTACCAAGATCAATTTTACCTTAGCAGATACTAGCCCCGCCCCCACACGCTCTTCTCATTCTAACGATTTTATCTTTCTTCAATTGTGATCCACCTTTCATTTCTATAACATGTATTTCTTATTTCTGAAGAAAAAAATGAGGAAAGGGTGGGTGGGCGGGGCTAACTTTTTCTTTTTTATAGAGAAACTTTTATAAGCAAACAATAGCCCCGCCCACCCATTCCCTCTTCATTCTTGTTATTACTCTCAGTCATTTACCAAAATCAATCTTATTTTAACAAATACTGACTATGCCCACCTGCCCTCCACTTCCTTAGGGGGTATGTAATTTGCCACAATCAGTCTTATCTTAGCAAGAACTACACTGCACCAATCCAAGTTCATATACGTGTCCTTGCAAACATGTTAATGACGTTATCATAAAATTGTGTAAAGTAAAAACTCAACTCGAAAATGCTGGATATGTTTCAGAGAAGCAGTATTTGTTCGACTATACTTCAGAAACGAGGGAAGTTCTATCGAAATAACTTTCGACCATTTTTTTTTTTAATTTGTTTCTTCTTCCAAATGTGTCTACAATTCCCTACATATAACGTTGTAATTGATACGCATAATTTTGGCGTGACGTCACACGTTTTGGAGGGGACCAATAGACAATCAGTTTTCAATTTGACTTATGTAGGATGGTGAGGGTGGATGTACTTTAACCCACGACGAAAAAGGAGACGTTATCAACACAACCATCGTCAGCGAGGAACCCCCGAAACCGAAAATATACGTAAAGAAGCCCTCAATTCGACTAATCTATTGTAGACCTTTCCCTGAAGGCAACCCTGTAAGTCAAAAACGTACCTTCAACTCAAACTAACACCTTTTTGTAGCAAAAATACAAAGTCAAGATGCATCTAACGACCCTCCTCCTCATGGATTTCCACGCCCACACATCACTAACTGAAGTCATGGGTTTGGTCGCTGGTTCGTGGAACCCCAACAAAAACGTCCTTACCATCTCCCACTACGAACCATGCAGGAACATCGCTTCGTCGGCTACTCACTGCGACATGTGCCCGATTTCGCAGTCAAAAGCCGCGGATTCCATCCACAAGCGCGGTTTGGACGTTCTGGGGTGGTTCCACTCGCACCCGACCTTCGCCCCTGAACCATCGCAGCAAGATTTGGACACCCAACAAGACTTCCAGCTGTGGATCGGGGATAGAAGGCCGTGTTTGGGGGTTATTTTGTCGCCTTTTAGTTTACATGGAGCCTTAATAGCGTCGCCTTTCCGCTGTATGGTGGTCGACAAAAAAGAGAATTTCGAAGACCAGTTCGTGCCTTATAAGTTTCAAGTCGAAGTCGTTTCCGACGAAAGTGATATAGAACGGTTTTTTACAGATGTGCGACGGATTTTTTGTGGGATGAAAGAGAGTGGAGTTGATTTTGGGAAACCGTACTTCCAGGATACTTCCATCACGTACTTAGAGAAGTACATTACGAGCGTAAGAATGCATTTAGCGAAATGCGGTACTCTGAATAAAATGACGTGTGATTATATTATCGAAAATATTTCGAATATATGTTCGGCATAGTGTATATATTTTGTGGTATTAGTCACAATGTATTTTGCAGATTTGTATTTATAATAAAAGTTAGACTTTTTCCAGAGCTTGTTGCAAATCGCTGATCAAGTCTTCGGCGTCTTCCAACCCGACGGACAGTCGGATCATGTTGTCGGTGATGTTCAGAACTTTCCGCTGATCTTCGGGAACGGAAGCGTGCGTCATTACCGACCTGAAATCAGCTGCGTTAAAACGAGAAAGCAAAATTTCGAAGAACGTACGGTAATTCCGCCAGACTTTCGTAACCCCCGAGGCTTTCAGCCAGAGTGAATACTTTCAAAGAACTCAGAAACCGTTGAGAATGTTCAAGGGATGCATTCTTAAGGTAAAATGTTAGCATCCCGCTACATCCAGAAGTCAGTTTTTTGTATAACTCGTGTTGGGGGTGAGATGGACGTCCCGGATGCAAAACTTTCTCGACTTTCGGGTGTGTTTCTAAAAATTTTGCCACTTCTAGGGAGTTCTTCATGTGCTGTTTCATCCTCAAAGCTAAAGTTTTGATGCTTCTTGTTACTTGGTAACAGTCGAATGGGGCCGGCACGATACCCATTGCTGGAATAATGTTACTACAATCAAAGAAAAGGTTCTTTCAAATAAATGCTTACAGTTTTGGAGAAATTTAAGCTGGTCATAGAGATCTTTGTTATTTGTGAGAACGACACCCATAATGACGTCACTATGGCCGTTGATATATTTTGTAATGGAGTGTACTACGAGATCGGCTCCGAAGTCAATAGGACGTTGGAAATACGGCGTTACGAAAGTGCTGTCAACAGCCAGCAACACTTTGTGTTTGCGGGCGATGGCTGCAATTGCAGGAATGTCGATTACTTTGAGAGTCGGATTTGTCAGGCTTTCAATCCAAATTAGCTGAAAATAGTTGAATTAAAAAAAATCTAAATGAAACAACCAAACGAAATTAAGTAGACCTACTTTGGTGTTTTCTTTTATGGCACTTTCGATCTTAGTTTCGTGAACAAACGAAATTTCTAGACCGAGTTTCGTGCAAACTTTGTTGAAGAGGCGATTTGTGCCCCCATAAACGTCGTCCCCGCATATAATGTGATCCCCGGCTTTGAAAAGACTGGCGATTCCCATGGTAGCGCCCAAGCCGGAAGCCCAGCACAATCCATATTTTGCGTTGTCCAGAGTGGCTAAGCAGTTTTCTAAAACGTTGCGGTTGGGGTTTCCAGAACGTCCATATTCAAATTGCTAAAGACGGGTGGTAAAATTGAATTAAAATGTATTTTTATAGAACATAGATATTTAATCTGCGTGAATGAAGGTCCCTAGTTTTAAAAATGTCGAGATTAAATTAAATTTAATGACATATTGAATGGTATATATAAACATGCTGCCTGAGCTTTCATATTAAAAAAAAAAGGTAATTCAGGCTCCCCCAGATTTTTTAAAATGGATTTCAACAAATCACCAGGGGCTCCTAAGATCTTTTCAAATTGTTTAAAAAACCAAATACTCATCGTAATTAAAAAAATTGGTCTAAAGAGTTTAGACAGTACTTCCCTCGCTGTCGGAAACTTGACGACTGCATGCCTATTGTGTTTTTTTCTCATTACATTTTTGTAGTGGGAATTTAAAAAAAATTGCGATGACGTCATCAACATTTTTGCAAGATACGTATATCAGTTGGGATAGATGTAGTGTAATACTGAGAATAAAATTATTGTATTCCCAAATTTTCGGGAAAATGAATTGGGTCGTTTTGAATATTGATTTGTTATAATCAATAAAATAACGAAACAATTTACTCACGTATACTGTAAACAAAACGGCCATCGGTTTTATTGCTTCGACTTCTGCTTATTATATAAAACATTGGGTTTTATATTAATTTTTGACGGTGAAATTCACAATTGGTTGATTATAAACATGTCTATTCCACATTCGCGGAACCTAGTCAGCGCATAAAACAGATGCACGTCTGTAATGTTAAAGTAAATGTAAATAAGCGTGCTACCCTTATGTTTCAACCGAGTTTTTACTGTACAAAATTTTGTGTCTAGCAAAATGGGTTGGTCCAATGTAATACTAATAATAAGTGTTGCCTTAATTTAATCAATAAAATAAATTGACTTCATTAATTTTTTTGAGCCACCTCTTAAGCAAATCTAAAAATTATGAATGGAATGATAAATTACAAGTACAAACTCATCATATTTTTTGGATTTTAGATAGGATTTATTCAGCAAAAGTTAGGGGTGACGTCATAAAAATTTTTAGGGGAGATGAACAAATACATTTTGAACAAAAGTTTACCATGCTTATGATAACTTTAAAATATCTCCAAGATTTCAAAGCATTCGGTTTTGTAATTACTGATTAAATCGATAAAATAAATTCACGCATTCATTAATTTTTTTGAGTCACCCTGTATATGCAAATCGAAAAAATTTGAATGGAATGATAAATCACAAGAAGACACTCACCATATTTTGTACATTTTAGATAGGATTTATTCAGCAAAATTTTGTGGTGACGTCATAAATTTTTTAGGGGGGACGACCAAATACATTTTGATCAAAAATTTACCATGCTTATGATAATTTTAAAACATCTTCAAGATTGCAGAGCATTCGGTTCTATAATTCTTGATTAAATCAATAAAATAAATTGACGCATTCATTAATTTTTTTGAGTCACCCTGTATATGCAACTCCAAAAAATATGAATGGAATGATAAATCACAAGTACAGACTCATCATATTTTTAACATTTTAGATGGGATTTATTCACCAAATTTTAGGGTGACGTCATCAATGTTTTTAGGGGGGATGAGCAAATAAATTTTGATAAAAAATTTACCATGCTTATGATAACTTTAAAACATCTCCAAGATTTCACAGCATTCGGTTCTGTAATTCCTGATTAAATAATAATAAAAATAAATAAAATAAATTGACGCATTCATTAATTTTTTTGAGTCACCTTGTATATGCAAATCCAAAAAATATGATTGGAATGATAAATCACAAGTACAGACTCATTATATTTTGTACATTTTAGATAGGATTTATTCAGCAAAATTTTGGAGTAACGTCATCAATTTTTTAGGGGGAAGAGTAAATACATTTTGATAAAAAATTTACCATGCTTATGATAATTTTAAAACATCTCCAAGATTGCAAAGCATTCGGTTTTGTAGTTCCTGAGTAAATCAGTAAAATAAATTTTGCGCATTTATTAATTTTTTTGAGTTAACCTGTATATCAAATCCAAAAAATATGAATGGAGTGATATATCACAAGTACGGACGCATCATATTTTGTACATTTTAGATAGGATTTATTCGGCCAACTTTTGAGCTGACGTCATCAAGTTTTTGGAGGGGATAACCAAATATATTTTGACTAAAGATTTATGATGCTCTTTAGAGCCTTAAAACATCTGCAACATTTCAAAACATTCGGGTTAGCAGTTTTAAAATTAAATTGGAAAATGTTGTTTTATAATTTTGATTAATTCGTCTGTCTGTCTGTCTGCCGTCCCGGATTTTTATTAGACAGATAATCTCCGAAAGTACTCGACCGATTGTTGTGAAATTTTGTACTTATATTAAGAATATCATGTAGATGGTAAAACGCTAACCAAAATTTGTCTAATCATCCCCACCACTAATGCGATGACGTCACTTCAAAATTGTACATAGTAAATAGGTTTTCAATTGTATAAAATAACATAGTCCTACACATGTAGTTTACAACTCTGAATCGACTTTTCACCCGAAACGTCCAGATTTTTGGAAAAAAAATCAAAATTATAAAACAACATTTTGAAATTTAATTTTTAATCTGCTAACCAGAATGCTTTGAAATGTTGCAGATGTTTTAAGGCTATAAAGAGCATCATAAATCTTTAGTCAAAAAATATTTGCTTATCCCCTCCAAAAACTTGATGACGTCAGCTCAAAAGTTTGTGGAATAAATCATATCTAAAATGTACAAAATATGATGAGTCTGTACTTGTGATTTATCATTCCATTCAAATTTTTTCGATTTGCATATACAGGGTGACTCAAAAAAATTAATGAATGCGTAAATTTATTTTATTGATTTATTCAGGAACTACAAAACCGAATGCTTTGAAATCTTGCAGATGTTTTAAGGTTATAAAGAGCATAATAAATTTTTAGTCAAAATATATTTGGTTATCTTCTACAAAAAACTGATGACGTCAGCTCAAAAGTTTGCCGAATAAATCGTATCTAAAATGTACAAAATATGATGAGTCTGTACTTGTGATTTATCATTCCATTCATATTTTTGGATTTGCATATGCAGGGTGACTCAAAAAAATTAATGAAGGCGTGAATTTATTTTATCAATTTAATCAGGAATTACAAAACCGAATGCTTTGAAATCTTGGGAATATTTTAAAGTTATTATAAGCATGGTAAACTTTTGTTCAAAATGTATTTGTTCATCCCTCCTAAAAAAATTGATGACGTCACCCTTAAATTTTGCTGAATAAATCCTATCTAAAATGCAAAAAATATGATGAGTTTGTACTTGTGATTTATCATTCCATTCATATTTTTTAGATTTTCTTAAGAGGTGGTTCAAAAAAATTAATGAAGTCAATTTATTTTATTGATTAAATTAAAGGCAACACTTATTATTAGTATTACACCCCAACCAACCCAATTTGGTAGACACAAAATTTGTTAAAGGAAAAACTCGGTTGAAACATAAGGGTAGCACGCTTATTTACATCGACTTTAACATTACAGACCTGCATTTGTTTTATGCGCTCACTTGGTTCCGCGAATGAGAAATAGACATGTTTATAATCAACCAATTGTGAATTTCACCGTCAAGAATTAAAATAAAACCCAATGTTTTATATAATAAGCGGAAGTCGAAGCAATAAAACCGATGGTCGTTTTGTTTACAGTTTCTCTGTTTGACTCTCACGTATGCTGTTACGCCTGTCATCTTAAATTAAGAATGTTTATACATACACGATTTTCAGTTGCCTCTGATACGTATACGTGAGTAAATTGTTTCGTTATTTTATTGATTATTACAAATCAATATTCAAAACGACCCAATTCATTTTCCCGAAAATTTGAGAATATAATAATTTTATTCTTAGTATTACACTACATCTATCCTAACTGATATACGTGTCCTTGCAAAAATGTTGATGACGTCATCGCAATTTTTTTTTAAATTCCCACTACAAAAATGTAATGAGAAAAAAAAACAATAGACATGCAGTCGTCAAGTTTCCGACAGCGAGGGAAGTACTGTCTAAACTCTTTAGACCAATTTTTAATGTTAAAATATGGTTACAGTTAACAGGTGTACTATATTTCTGTATACTAGTCAACTTGTCATTAAATTTATTTTTTATCATTCACCGATACTGCGATACTTTGCACATAAATCTAAAACAATCAATACTTGAACTATAGACGTTTATCTAGGAAGATAAGATAAGTTTACCTGAATCAATATGTTCATATTTTAAATTTATTAGTCAATTTTTTGAAGTTTTGTATTATTTATAAAAGTCAAGCAAATGAAAAAATTATTAACAACACCGTTTAACCTTAAATGAGAAAACGAACGATTGCAACATCATCTCATCAACTGAAAAATATTCATGTCCCACCTTCCCCTACATACCTTATAATGCGCGGGGCCGTATTGCTTGAACGTCGTGGAGGCCACCATGGGCGTTACCACCGCCATCGAACTCCATTGTTCTGGGTCTTGAAAGGCATGAATTGCAGCTGTTGCAAACCCTTTGGGTTCGGGAAGATAACCGTTCTCACCAGACATTTCTGTAAACTGTTAATATTTTCATCAATAAATTTGTGTTTATGGTATAATTTAGATTACAACAGATAAAGCATTTATTACATCATTGTAATGACAATGCGTTTATTAAGTAAATATGTACGCAAAGAAACAAATTATCGTGTTTTTAAAAGAACACTGAGCCACTTTGAAGTCGGGTTAAAAATAAACCGCGAAATTCCGGTCTGTTGCCGGCCGGCAATAAGAAATTCTGTAAAACGAAGGTCTCGGAGTCAAGGATGCTGGAAATTGATTTAAGTAATATATCAAGATTGTTAAGTAAGCGTCTCTGATTATCCAATTGTATTTTAAAATGCAACGTAAACAATTTTATGGTAGAGGAATCGGACGCGGGTTATTTTTAAACTTAAACGTTAGGTATTGATTGTGCCGTAGAAATAGAAATGGAAGTTTACGTTCTGGAAACGAAACCACGTGTATTCGTAATCGTTATTAAAAAGTATACCACGCGATTAATTGTTAATTATTATTGCATGTGTTGCTAAATAGCATGGAGGAAATATTACATAATCTTTTAGTTTTCTTATCAAAATTTGGTAACTTACTTCAGTGTGATGAAATTTACAACGAAAAGGAACACACGTCAGTTAATCTGGACGTGGAGTTCTGTATTTGCGCTTAATTGTAGTACCGTAGGTCACTCACGAAGATTTCGATTGTACTACAAATCACGTAAAATAAAAATCTGATGATACTGGTCAACAGTGAAGTGCAAGGATAAGAGCCCTTGTAAATAAAAGGAAAGATTTATTATCGTTTAATGAGTGGACATTGGTGCAGTGGGTAATTAGGGGAGCTTAGGCCAAATTCTGACAGTTGTTGCCTACATTGTTGAATTACCTGTATATATCAGTTGTTCAGCCGATTTTATCAAAAATTTAGCTTTTTTTTTCATTCGTAAATAATAATTATGTAGAAAAATGTAAGTCAGTGTCTAACAAAATTTAGATCGGTGTTTGACCATATATTGGAACTTGTTCCAGTGTCCCCTACTAGTCTACGTTTGACCTTTTTAGTGTCGTGGTGTATTTCCCCGTATTATATACTAAAAAAACATTTCTGAGAACTTACTTCCAATCAAATATCTTGTTTTTTTGTACACGTTGGGCATACAAGGAATTTTGTTACATCTCTTTACCTTACTCTATTCTACGCAGTGCGCCAATAAATATACAAATTATAAAACTTTTCGAAACTTGAAGGTAAAGGAAAAAAATCTCAAACAAAACGTGTTCCCGCGCACTTTCAAATTTGACAACGTGCTTTTGACATGGACGTGCGTCATGCGCACTCTAATAACAAGCGTTTTTGCCGAAATTGTTTTAACAAAATCGTCATACAACACCCCATGATCACGTTCCTGCCCTTCAAATACTGTGAAAATGCCTCCTTGTACCACAAAAATGTTCGCACCCTATTAATTACGCCAAATATAGGCAACCAAACATACACCAGATTCAATGTAGTAAATAGTTATTTTTTCGCGGTTAAAACTAGTAAAGGTGCTTCTGATTCTAATGTACAATTGTAGAAGTAGATATTGAAGATTCAAAGGGCAAAAGTGATTTAAAATTTAGTAACTCCATGTTTGCTAAGAGTAAAAACAAATGTTACAATCTTGAAGTTAAAAATGTAGAAATTGAAAATTGTAGTACATAGTTCTATCTAACAAATCACAAAAATGTTTATAGATTTGTCAGTGTTAGGTCAGGTTATAGTTAAGGAGCTAACAGGGATTGAGGAACCAATGAGCTTGTACTTATTGTTTTACTACCTCCTGAGCATAAGCGCAGCAAGTATTATAGTAGAGTACGAAGAAATATGTCCGTCTGTCTGTCTGTCCGTCTATCCGTCTGTCTACCGTCCCGGTTTTTTATTAGACAGATAATCTCCGAAAGTACTGAGCCGATTGTTGTCGAATTTGATGGTAAAACGCTAACCAAAATTTGCCTAATCATCCCCACCGATAATGTGATGACGTCATTCAAAATTGTCCATGGTAAATGAGTTTTAAATTGTATAAAATAACATAGTCGTACACATGTAGTTTATGATTCCGCATTAAGTTTCTACCCGAAAAGTCCAGATATTTGGAAAAAAAAATTAATATAAAAAAAATTGCAATTTAATTTTGAATCTGCAAAATCAAATGCTTTGAAATCATGGAGATATTTTAAAGGTATATAATATTATAAGTGTATTGGTTTAAATGTGATTAAGTAATTTCCTTGTTTTTTTGGTTTGTTATATTTGTATTTTTGAATATTTAAAATTTGTGAAACTGTGTGATGGAAAGTAATCCACTATAGACAAAAGTTATCATAAGCATGGTAAATTTTTTATCAAATTCTATTTGCTCATCCTCCCTAAAATGTTGATGAGGTCAACTCAAAATATTGCCGAATAAATCCTAAAATGTGCAAAATATGATGATTCTATACTTGTCATTCATCACTTCCCCACCCACCCATCCTCTTTTCTTAGAGGGTATCTCATTTGCCAAAATCACTCTTAGCAGGTACTAGCCCCGCCCACCCACCCTCTCTTTTCCCAGAGGATGTCATTTGCCAAAATTAGTCTTATCTTAGCAAGGACTAGCCGCGCCCACCCACCCTCTCTTTTCCCAGAGTATGCCATTTGCGAAAATTAGTCTTATCTTAGCAAGGACTAGCCCCGCCCACCCGCCCTCTCTTTTGTTAGACGGTATCTCATTTGCCAAAATCAGTTTTATCTTAGCAGGTACTAGCCCCGCCCACCCACCCTCTCTTTTTTTAGAGGGTATCTCATTTGCCAAAGTCACTCTTAAATAGGCAGGTACTAGCCCCGCCCACCCACCCTCTCTTTTCCTAGAGGATGTCATTTGCCAAAATTAGTCTTATCTTAGCAAGGAGTAGCCCCGCCCACCCACCCTCTATTTTCTTAGAGGATTATGTCATTTGCCAAAATCAGTCTTATCCTAGCAAATACCAGGATTTTGGGAGATGTCATACCTTTTAAGAAAATAGGGGGCGGGTGGGCGGGGCTAGTACTTGTTAAGATAAAACTTATTTTGGCAAATAACATATCCTCTGAGAAAATTAATTAAATTAATTTTAAAGGTATATAATATTATAAGTGTATTGGTTTAAATGTGATTAAGTAATTTCGTTGTTTTTTTTTGTTTGTTATATTTGTATTTTTGTATAAGTTAAAATTTGTGAAATTGTGTGATGGAAAGTAATCCACTATAGACAAAAGTTATCATATAGCATGGTAAATTTTTTATCAAATTCTGTTTGCTCATCCTCCCTAAAATGTTGATGAGGTCATCTCAAAATATTGCCGAATAAATTCTAAAATGTGCAAAATATGATGATTCTATACTTGTCATTCATCACTTCCCCATCCACCCACCCTCCCTTTTCTTAGAGGGTATCTCATTTGCCAAAATTACTCTTAACTTAGCAGGTGCTAGCCCCGCCCACCCACCCTCTCTTTTCCCAGAGGATGTCATTTGCCAAAATTAGTCTTATCTTAGCAAGGACTAGCCCCGCCCACCCACCCTCTATTTTCTTAGACGGTATCTCATTTGCCAAAATCAGTTTTATCTTAGCAGGTACTAGCCGCGCCCACCCACCCTCTCTTTTCCCAGAGGATGTCATTTGCCAAAATTAGTCTTACCTTAGCAAGGACTAGCCCCGCCCACCCGCCCTCTATTTTCTTAGAGGATTATATCATTTGCCAAAATTAGTCTTATCTTAGCAAGGACTAGCCCCGCCCTCTATTTTCTTAGAGGATTATATCATTTGCCAAAATCAGTCTTATCCTAGCAAATACCAGGATTTTGGCAGATGTCATACCTTTTAAGAAAATAGAGGGCGGGTGGGCGGGGCTAGCACTTGCTAATATAAGACTTATTTTGGCAAATAACATATCCTTTAAGAAAATAGGGGGCGAAGGGGCGGGGCTAGTACTTGCTAAGATACCACTGATTTTGCCTCTATTAATCTGGTTGAAACAACTTTCGAGCAATTTTTTCTAAAACAATAATGCTTTTTAATAAAATAAAAAAGTTATACGTCTTTGTGTCTGCTTTACATGATTTTTAAATATTTCTATGTAAACCCTGACGGCAAAGTCGTTTTTCTAATAAAAATAAAAATTTTAATAAAAAATATTTAGTCCTAGATTCTACTATTTGTCAAAATAAAATTTAACTTTCGACTGAGAGCCCATAAAATGAGTCACCAGAATGAAGTACAGGTGGGTGGGTGGGGCCAATTTTTTCTTTGAGTTAAATCTTAGATTCTATCGTTTGTCAAATCAAAATTCAATTCCTATTTTGCAGTAAATCAAATAAATCAGTGAAATGGACAAAGGAGATGGGATTAGTTAACATTATTATCTTTTAGTTTCTTACTCAAATATGTTAAATACATATTTGATGAGAAAATAGATAAATTCTAAATAAATTATCTAAAAATATTCAGCTGGTGGTAAATAACATACCAGACATGAAAACAATATTAAAACACAATATTACTAAAGCTCCTCCGCGACTCGCACAAGCTCCGCCTTAATAAATCATTTCATTGGCCCGGGAAGAGGAGCGGCGTTTACAGTTGTAGCTTATTGTGTCTACTCTACTTGATTTTTAAAAATTTCTATGTAAACTCTGGCCGCAAAGTCGTATTTCGAATAAAAATAAAAATTTTATTAAAAAATATTTTGTTCTAGATTCCATTATTTGTCGAAATAAAATCCGACTTCCGTCTCAAAACCAATAAAATAAGTCATGAAAAAGGAGTAGGGGTGGGTGGGTGGGTGGGGCTACTTTTAACTTTGAATTAAATCTTACATTCTGCCGCTTGTCAAGTCAGAAATAAAATAGTAAAATGGAGAAAAGAGCTGGGTGGAGCTAAGTTTAGCTTTTTTTACAGTGTCTTATAAGCAAACAATGTTTGTCGTGAAGCTTTTTTAATGCATTTTTTTTTACATATACATTTGATCTCATTTTTAAGGTTATTTTTAAAAAAAGTTGTGGATTTCTAAAGATTTAGACTATGATTCCAGCGGATCCATATAGAAACCACTGACTTTGAGATTTTTATATATAAAAAAAACACTTCCAACGTCAAAATTGGCCTGTTAAAAATAATAAAGCATCTTATAATATACATATATATACATATTTAAAAACAGAGTGTAGGGTCAAATGTACCATTTTACTTATTACTAATTTGTTCTTTTTTTTTGGTATTATATATTTAATTTTATAGGATTGCATACTCCTGCACGTGTGAATTATTAATCCGTGCCGAGTTTTCATCCTAGACATCCAGATTTTTGGGGAAAAAATCAAAATTGTGTAACATCTTATAATTTAAACTTGGAATTGTAAAACCGAATGCTTTAAAAACTTACGAGTCTTTTAAGATTATCATAAGCATAGTAAATCGTTAATCAAAACTTTTTCGTTTATGGTCTCTTAAAAAATAATTGCGTCATTTTATAATTTTATAGAACAAATGTTTTTTAATTTTATAGAACTACATACTGTGTGTAATTTAGAATCCGTGTTGAGTTTTTTTTGGGAAAAAATTCAGAATTGTATTTCACAAGTTAACTTGAAAATTGCAAAAGCGAATGTACTGAAATTTTGCAAACTTTTTAAAGTTATAGGAAAGATGATAAATCGTTAATCAAAATTTGTTCGTTTTATGACGTCATTTTAGAATTCTGCCGGAATTCTTTAAATTTTATAAA